TCACACCCCTATGAAGGGCTCGAACTTTGGTAGGCCAGGTGTTCGGGCACCTTGACACAACCAGTACTCTAACTTTAGAGTACCGGTTGTCTAAATAGGGATATATATACGTGTGTGTGTGTGTGTGTATGTGTGTGTGTGTGTGTGTGTGTGTGTGTGTGTGTGCGCGCGCGCGCGCGCGCGCGCGCTCCAATATGTAAGTGCTTCATGGCCAACATAAACATAATAATATGACCCTTATCTGGCACCTGTGCACTCTGTTCCCTGTCTGACTGATTAGGCACAAGATCTCTTATGATCTTATCAGGTCTGTCCCATCCCTAAGGCAAAGCACGTGTGTTGTATTCATCTGGCACTAAACACATGGCCGTCAGCAATCTTTGTATGCAACACAAGTTTCCTGTCAATGTTTCAAAACATGGATACACAGAGATTCGAGGCATTGAAATCAGTCTGATCGTTAATGTACACTGTAATGGGCTGGCCTCCAACCTGCGACCGTTAACCGAGTCCTTAAGGGCTTATCCCTCACTCAAATAATTACTCCTAACTCTATTTTACCTAAAGCAATAATATTTACAAATTAATAACACAACTCACAACTCTAGCAAATTTTGGCCGAGCTAATTTTGCATATACTTTATTCATTAATTACTCAATTTCAATATGCATGTTATGAGCCTAAGACTTACGAGTAAGATATAACGGTTTTTACATGTAAATTTAAGAACCATAATGTTAAAGGCTCGTCAAATTTGCATACTGCTTGCACATGTTATTTCCTCCAAATCCACATTTACATATTTAAGATGCTAAATGGGCCTGCAACATTTCATCTTGAGGAGGCTTTTAACTACACTCACATCTACTAGTATGCAAAGTGATGTAATCAAACTTACTAGGCTTTTTTAAATACAATTATGGCTAGTCTAGTCCATTACACACCCATCTCTGTAAAATGAAGTATCGACTGAAATTGCATAGTTACTGTAAACAAGTTTGACATCGAAACACTGATACACCGATGTATCTGATACAAAGAGCTTTTCAACCCTTGTCAAATTTAAAAAGTAAACTACCATATTTGGCGGCGGATAGGACGCAAGTTTTCGGTCTAATACCGACTAAATATTATAATTACATGCAAAAAAAATGATGCCCCCTAAAGAAAAACACACAATTGAAAATCCCTTTCGATAAATGAATGATCTCATTTTAAGAATAATCTCATACTATTTTGTTTTCTACCAAATATCCTTGTAATTTAAGCGAGTCGTATAAGCCGGTAAATACGGTAGCTAAATTTTAAATAAAAAATGTAAATGCATCAGTGGCATAAAACTATCGTTCAGTTAGTTCACCATTAATTGTTGGAAAATTATTTTAAACAAAAACCGCAAAGAAAATTCGCTCCTCTCAATGCTCAGCTTAAGAGACTGTTGTGGTCTAGTTTTTGAACGAATTGTCATATAAGATAATTGAAAGATGTATGACCAAACCACACACTAGACAGTGAAGAGACAATCGACTTGATAATGATCCAGGACGCACCGAAACGTCGTCGTCTCTTCACTTTCTAATGTGGTTTGGTCAAACATTTTTTAGCCATGTTATTGTGACTCCTCATCTCCACTATTGAAATATTCACTAAACTGTGTAACTAGCTTATCAATACACAAGGAAATCACAACAACGTGATATATGTGAGAAAATCATTGAAGCAGGTCGAGGATCGAACCAGCGTCCTGGGTCACCCCAAATTCAAGTATGTTTATTGAGACAAGAAAGAAATACATCTCAAAGGGATAGAGTAGCTTAGGCTATTTCTACCCCCCCCCCCCCCCCCCCCGGTAACCCCAAATGCACGTTGGTTCGATCCCCGTCCTGCTCCAATGATTGTTTCACTAGATTGAAGTGAAACGATTGCAACTTCCAGCATTTAGCCAAGCTAAATGAATTTTGGGGTTCAGTTCCTAAGCGCATTATGTGCCTCTAACATTTCCACTATCGCCCACGTGTTGGGTATGGGATATATAATAAATGAACAAACTCAAATCTTGAAAGTCATGATTAATCAAACTTTTGCCAATTTTATTAGCATATCGTTTTTGGAGTATACCTCAGAGTGAAGAAAGTGGCGAAAATAATATTATAAAAGGCTTCTTAGGTTTAAATAAAGTTTTTTATACTGTCCTACAATAGATTAATAAGGTAAAATATTCATGGTAGGGCTATTTGATGCTATCTCAAATGGGATCAGAATGGGTAAGACTAGGCTATTAACGCAGAAAACAAAGAGAGTCCGCTTAAATAAAATATAGTCACGGAACCTCTATGTTTACCATAGTTCACCTGTACATAAACGATCTAGATAGGAATACAAGAGTGAATAACAACATTAGCAAATTTGCCAATGAATAAAATATGAAGGAGAACCCATCTATATATCTAAGAGAATGTCTGCCTGCCCAAGGTTGGAAGCCAGATGCTTAAGGTTAGATTCACCTAACTATGCAGAGGGAATGGTTTGGTGTACGGAACGTCCATAGGTTGATAGAGGTCGGTCCTATTAAAAGGGAAGGGGCAAGGCCAAATAATGACCCCTTTCATCCCCCCCCATCCATAAAATCGGTTAAAGGTGCCTGGACAAGTTTCTATGATTTCTTCACTTGGAAGTGATGATGGAGAATTCGACATTAAAATGGAAATGTCTGTTTAAGGTTGGAGGTCAGATAGGGGAAGAAATGGGGGAAAGAGGGGAGCAGTAGGAAGACTGGGGGAGGTGCAGGAAAGGGGAAATGTGGAGAGAGAAGAGGGGGGAATCTAAGGTGAGGTGAGACACACCTCACATCTCAAGCACCGGCGGGACCTTTCCTAGTACTGTATATATTTAATAAAATGGACGGAAATAGAGAAACACTAAAAGGAAGACATTAATCGACTTTCAAAATGCACTGAAAATTTATATATGGTTTATCCTAATGCTGACAAATGCATACGATTCTACGTCTTTACAAAAAAAAAAAAGCGAGTCAAGACTTGGCGTACGGGTAATAAGTTTAATTGGTGCCGTATTTCTCGATCTTTCTATACAAAATTATTAGTACAAAACGAGACTTTCTTCCTTGGGTTCAACCGTTCATATTTCGTACATTCCACCACAGTCGCTATAGGCACTGTAAAATTTAATGACACTGTGGATTCTGGCCGCTCAGCTAATGTACACAAATCTGAGGAAGCGTTAGGATTGCGGGGCCGTAAGCCTATACAAGTTGAGCTGTGTGAGGCCATCTTGAACACCGTGGTGGACGGTTGGCACTGCTCCCTGGCTCCTGACCCTGGTATTGGTGCGGGCAGGAAGTTGTAGTATCCGGCAGGTCACTTGCTACAAGCAGGTGCCACAAATCATAAATAAACCTTGGGACGAAATGTTTTTTCCCCAGCCGTGTAGACGGCAAGGTCTAGTTAAAATGTATATATTAAAAAATATGTATAGTTTACTCATATTTTAACCTAACGATATATACGGTCTTGACATTCAGAAAAAAATGACCCTTGTGGGGCCTGTCTTCGTGTACAACTTGACCACGCTCTCAAGAAGTCAACTACAAGCCGTAGTGTTCACGAATTTCATTTTGTTATGCTCATGAAAGGATAAGTATTTTATCTTGCCCATACCATTTATTCGAATCTATCCACCACCCAGTCCGATGCATCCACCATCTAAACTAGATTGTACCTGGAGACCATCAATCACCTACCCCGACCTATCCACCACCTAACCCGCCCTATCTTCTACATAACCCGATTCATCCTTCACCTGACTACCACATAGCCTAACCCATCCATCTACTACCTAACCTGATCCATCCTTTACCTAACTCAACCCATCCACCACATAACCCGACCCTCACAAATCACAGTTAAACATCAGTAAATCAAGTTATATACTACACTAAGAAGCCAGATATAATAAAGCACAGTTCCATTCACCTGGGCTCTTAGGAGACTCGAACCGTGGACCCGACGCGTGTGAGGTCGAAGCTCTATCAACCGAGCTATTGAGTAGTCTTAATAAGAAAAGTTTCCAGAAGCAGCATATCCTGCTGCCAGACTGAAATTTTCGACTTTCCCCTGACTACTACTAAAGTTTTGAGGAATTAGTGACCCACGTCATATAAATTGTCATCCACACTTCCCTGGAAATAAACATTCCCTATTAATTAAGACTACTCAATAGCTCGGTCGATAGAGCTTCGGCCTGTGGGGTCCACGGTTCGAGTCTCCTAGAGCTCATGTGAACGGAATGTTTATTTCCACGGAAGTGTGGATGACAATTTATATAAAGCACAGTTTTAGGGCGAGATGTTGGGGTGATCAAGCGTGGTGTGTCACCATACCTGTGGTAGTGGTGGTGTCACTATACCTGTGGTGGTGGTGGCACCATACCTGTGGGGGTGGTGGTGTCAACATACCTGTGGTGGTGGTGGTGGTGTCAATATACCTGTTGTGGTGGTGGTGTCACCATACCTGTTGTGGTGGTGGTGTCACCATACCTGTGATAGTGGTGGTGTCACCATACCTGTGATAGTGGTGGTGTCACCATACCTGTGATAGTGGTGGTGTCACCATACCTGTGATAGTGGTGGTGTCACCATACCTGTGATAGTGGTGGTGTCACCATACCTGTGATAGTGGTGGTGTCACCATACCTGTGATAGTGGTGGTGTCACCATACCTGTGATAGTGGTGGTGTCACCATACCTGTGATAGTGGTGGTGTCACCATACCTGTGGTGGTGTCACCATACCTGTGGTGGTGTCACCATACCTGTGGTGGTGTCACCATACCTGTGGTGGTGTCACCATACCTGTGGTGGTGTCACCATACCTGTGATAGTGGTGGTGTGTTACCATACCTGTGATAATAGTAGTGTCACCATACCTGTGACAATAGTAGTGTGTCACCATACCTGTGACAATAGTAGTGTGTCACCATACCTGTGATAGTGTCCGGAGTAAACACCGAGGAAGGAGGAGGAGGACGGGGGGGCGGAGGGAAGAGTAATCCAAGTTGTTGAAGAAGCAAGTGGCGGCTGTGGTGTCCTTGTTGCCCGGGGCTAACTTGAGGCTCCAGGTGTTGCCCCAACACTTGCACCAACAACACTTCACATATAACTCAAATGTAATCTTTACCGCTCACAAACGCACCAAATGGAACCGTTTTTTTTTTTAAGCTAGAAGCCAAACTTCCAGTAGCTTCATCAACAATCAAACCAATAAAAAAATACAATGTGCTTTCACTTTTCTATAAATAAAGTCAAACATTTTAACCACACCTTAATGGAGCCGGTTTGGAATGTCTTGAGCTAATTTTAACACAATGCCACAAAATACTTTGCGAAAGTTTAGACCCATACAGAGGTTAGCACCAACGACGTGCGCGACAGACCCTCACCGCACCACGATTAAATCAACACTGAGGCACGGACGCCGAGGGGGAGCCCAAGAGACGTTGTGCCGGGCTGCCTGAAGCACGATACACCACACGTAACTATTCACTCTTTCTTTTAAATGACTAAACACTAAGTAACAACAATAAGAAATTTATAACTAGAATACAACATTGTTAACTGTTTTCTAAATAATTTATAACATGTTTTAACAAAACAGTCAAAGGTTTAATATTAAAAAATACAAATTAAACTATAAATTCAACAGGAAATATGTATATAAATTGAAACAACACGGTAAAACGGTCAATTCCCATCACGCGTGTTTTTTTCCCTCTGAAAAATACTACAATTTTACTGAGGGAGTAAGTAATAAAATAGGTATGTGGCAGCCGTACCCAGGCGAGGGAGAGGGGAGAGCCCTAGTGTTCACAGATGTATATTATGCACACTGCACCCGCGCCGCCTCGACAAGGAATATATATGTACTCACGACTCTATTCCAGGGCTCACTGTATATACATTGAAAGCTTACTTTTATCCTCAACATTATATTTAGAACTAAAATATGCTAGTTTAAAGGTAGAAGTACATGTAAATAATAATAATAATGTTTATTTAGGAATAAGTGCATACTTCTATTACAAATGTTCAATAGAAATGCATTTCATTAAAAGGACAGTAATACAGTAATACATTTTTTTTACAAATAGTACAGTAATACAGTAATACATTTTTTTTTTAATTTTTTATTATTAGCAAGCTTACGTATACACAGCAATGTGCTTCTACCCTATTCTATATGAAAGATTACACAGTGTAATTAAAAAACTAGCTATAAGTTTATCTAATATCCCCATCTCGCAGGATGCTTAGTCATACATGGAATCAGAAGAGAACAAGAAATATGAGGCTGATCTATTAGCTTCCACTAGCAAAATCTAGGTACAGCACAAGAATATCTTCCAATATTCCTGAGTGTATGAAGTAATAACAGAGCTCAAAGTACCTTGTACCATTTGGTCAAAAAATCACTGATAATAGGGCAATCACAAATATGGTGTTGTAGAGAATGTCCCAGCTCTTGTTCACATAGTTTACAATTGGAATGTTCACCATTGGGGAAACCTGAAAACTGTAGTATTAAAAGCTATGACAACTTTTGTAATAATAGTTATTTGTACGGTCAGCACAGTAACCGGATCAGGCAATGTGATGTAGTCATTGCGCGAATTCGCCTTGGCTATAGACACATCTGGCAGGTTAGTGAGGCTGAGACACTACCAGAATATTCAGATTGTTAACTCTGTGACACCTTTAATGCGCGGTGTGTCCACTCACAAGATGAGTGGCGCTGCCCAATAAACTCGCCCCTCAGGGCAAAATTTAAAATTTAAACCTTTAATGCATTCACTAGAACACTATATTGTTTAATGTGAATCCGTAAAAGATTTTAGACCTCCTGGCCTATTGTACCACCAATTGTGTAACTATTTCATTGACTCTGGTGCACTGGACGACATATTAACAATTTATCCAAAATTTGCTAGTCTATTTTAAAGAATGAAGAACAATTTTAGTTATTTTATTTTTAAGTTGCATTTCTTATGAGCCCATCCCTGCCCTTGTGTGGGAGTGCCCAATAGAAAGTTGGATTTACATATTCGTAAATTGAAACATTGATTGTAACCATGATATATGTGTTTCAGCCTAGTTTAAACCTGTTGTCTTGTGTAGGAACCTCTGTCCTGTGTCCAGCCCATCCTCCAAACAGAGACCCAAAAGTGATTCCGTGCACCCGCCAAACCCCCTGTTTATGTATGAAAAACGGTTTACACACGACTCACAACTGTTGACATTCGAACACCTCCGGAGCAAGTGCTTCACTGACGAATTTTGTTCGAACCACAACGGTATAAATGCTTCACCCACGTACTATAAATCGCCAACAGAACCTAAACACCTAACCTATCCTATGCCTATATATGCACAATATGCTAATATATTATAATATTAGTTTATATTTGAGAAAATTCCCGTTTTGAATGAACAGCATGTAAACATTTATGAATGCGTCTGTGGGGTCGACCGCTGGATGTAATGGACTTGAGTCGAGGACGGGTTGTGTAAGCAGTTTTCCATTCATAAACAGGGGGTTTGGCGGGTGCATGGAATGGACTGTGGGTCTTTGTTTACAGGACGGGCTGCACAATCACACAATCGACTCTGGGTTCAAATCCGGGTAAAACGGAAATGGTTAGACGTGTATCTTATCACCTAATATCCCTGTTCACTTCGCAGTAAATAGGTCACCTTGTTGTTGGGTTGCACCTTGGGAGGGTCAGTAGTTCGACCGTGAGGGGGGAGGGAGGAGGGGGTTAGGACAAGAACAAAAATTTATCAAACTAGTTAGAAATGTTATAAAATAAACAAGGAAAACGAAAAGAAATTATGAAGTTCATATGGCAGGACAAGCAGACAAATTCTAAAGTTTTTTTCAGTTATATAAAGCAAAGATTAGACATAGGATAGGGTTATTAAAAACCGACATATCAGATAACTGATAATGACAGAGAGATAAGTAGTATTTTAAATACATACTTTGTATCTGTATTTACAAAAGAACTTATCATTATGCCTGTAGTCCACTGTGATCTGAACTGTGTCTACAAGTTCAGTCTATATTGGTCGTAAAGAGGACAGGTTGACCAGTTTAGTGGTTACCAGGGAGGAAGTTGTTAAACAAATAGAAAAACTCAAGCCAAATAAATCCCCAGCCAGACAAAGTGTTTGTCAGGGTGCTTAATGACTGCAAAGAAGAAATTTGTGAACCCGTGTCTAGCTTATTCAATAAATCATTTAGAGTCAGGCAGCGTACCAGTCTTGGAGGACTACCTATCTTGTGGAAGTTCTGGGGATCAAAGGCCTTGCGGCCCGGGGCTCCCGGTTGGTCGTCTGGCCTGGTTTAAAATATAAAACTTAAATGAACAAATCACACACAGAAATCACAATAGCGTGATGCATCAAATGAACAAATCCACGTGGGCTGTGATGAGGGTTCGAACCGATGTCCGAGACGTGCCTTACGACACGTGTTTATACTTAACTTATTTTCTTTGAAACGGTCTGAAGAATTTGGGTTTCTGTAAATGAAAATCTAGGGTATACTCATATAGTTTAGAATTTCACAATTCTAAGGTCGGGTGCGTACCCAAGATACAGCACGCTATTTCCCCTCTGAACTGCAACACTGAGGCGTTGGAACAGGAAACTGGCCACTCTTGAGTCTTTAGTTTTCCCCATGAGGTCCTCACCCACCTCTTTTAGGAACTTTTACCCCGTGCACATTTACCCCAGGCGCCCAAGAGCCTCAGAGCCTATCGGCACGAACCTGTAACAACGTTCTAGGTCTCAGTACTTGTTGGTTGTCTGGATCTCCCTGAAGGTGGCTGCCCCGCCTCCTTCAACTGTGCTGTAAGGTAGATAGGTATCAGCCTTACATCTGATTATATATATTATACATAATATAATTTTTTAATTAATTATTATTATATAATTCTATAATATATAATATATATAAATAATATCTAAACTATATACGAATGAGTTTGGGTGGATACACTTAGGAGCTGCCATGAATGGGTCATTAGGCCTTCTGTAGTTTCCTTAATTTTTACCTGAATTTACATGAGGTTCGCTATCTCTTTATTGACCTCGACGAAGACAGGAAGCCAGCGGCTTGTCAAAGGTCCCATCATTTCTCCTGGTGATTTGATCGAGCTGGATATTGAAAGGAACTGAATGAATTATTGGTGAATTGATGAATTATTATTATTAACCCATGGAACCGCCTACCCGTGGAAGTTGTAAATGTCAAAACATTGCTGCAGTTCAAAATCCAGATGGATAAAATCGTCAGGAAAAATAGGGGGGCTTTGACAAGCCGTAGGCTTCTTGCCCCTTTCGAGGCCACTAGTAAACACCCCTAAAGTAAATTCCGGTAAATAATTATTTGTTGGTAATGAAAGAAAATGAAATGCTGTGTAATACAATATTATAATTGCAGCAGTTACTATTGTTTTAAGTTATAGATCTTATACATAATTTAAGAAGGTAAATTAAAAGCCTTTCGAGTAACAAATTAATTCAAACTTGGAATTGAAACTGAAATTGAAATAAGTTTATTGAGGTAAAATAACTTGGCATTGATCCTGCCTGCAGCAGCTAAAGCCCGACCTTCCTTCGCTGGCTCTTAGTATTATATTTAGCAAACCTGTCCAATAATACAATGATGCCCTCTGAAAGCTACCATTTACATGTGGCTATACTATAACATATGAGAGGAGCACGCCCGCTATAGGAGGCGATCAATGCAGAACACGTGCTGCTGCCTCCCAACCTCACTACAGATAAGACCAACAACAGAAATCTACTTGTCAATATTGGATATATCAAGCATATAAGGGAGAACTCCGGGTACATTTAGATCGCGTGTGAGGGCGTGAAGCCTTAGCGGGGGCGCGGCGGGAGCGGCGTGCGGGGCGTGAGGCGATGCTCCTTTGTCACTGTGGGCGGCACGGTCCCGCCGCTTATTGTTCCTCTCAGCTGTGACCCAACTGTCATGAAATAGTTAACCACAAAATCGCTTTTACTGTTAAAACGGCATGGCTGATCTCTTTAAGAGCGCCCTCGGCTACTTGGGAACCAATGGCGGAACAGCGGAGAATGACTTTGTCGGCCAGGAAGTTGAAATCAATGGTATTCGTCTTCGTATAAGAAAGCTTATAGCAGAAGGTAGGCCTCTTGTCGCCACCAGGGAGCAGGACAATGTTGGCTTGACCTGGCGGGCTCAGCCATGGCATGTGTTAGGCACTCCCTCCCTCGCCAACCATCTCTAATACTTCAATAGTTTGTCATTAGGTTAATGTTAGTAGATCATGTATTTGACTAGACACATTGGGTGCACAAAGACACATTAAAGTTTTGGTTTAGAAACTACTTGTTTATCTGTGGCAATGATTACACTACGTTGGCTGTGTCTCCTTATGTACAAAGGTCTATGTAAATTTATATACACTATTAGTCGTACTATTTTATGAAATCAACTTTGTGGCTATGGAGGTACCCCATGCAGAATAATTGTCGTCAAAAGAGCTGCCAGAAGTTTGACCCCAGCAAGGTCATCGCTACTCTTTTTAAATAATACCCAACATAACAGAACCTTATCTAACCTAACAAAAATAGATACAATTTGGTGTTTTATATAATATATTGTGTGTGACGAGGCTGTAATGTCATAGCTTTAATGCACGTTTTGGATGTTCCTGGGTAGCTACCGTATATTTTTGGTGTTTTTGATTAAAACTCCAACAAATCTTTTGAAAGGGTTATATTGAAACTGAGAGCACTTTCACAAGAATTATTAAAGAATCATCTGATTATTGAACTGCTACCTAACCTAATGATCCTAGCTGTGTCTGATATAGCTTATACTTAACTTATTCTGTTATTTGCCTACAGCCCTGATGCTGTTCCCTATAATTCTCATTCTACAATGATGTGCAGAAAAATTGCACAATGATGCTCAGTTAGGCAGTACTGCTCCTCATACAATGGAAATGACATTTGGTGCTATTCATAGTATCAATTGGTCAGTCTTTATATACAAGAGTAGGTAGGTATGATATATTTTAGGCTTGAAGCTTAATAAGTATGGTACAATTCAAATGGCAACAGGCCATTAGATTCAAACTAGACTATTGGAGATCTTATAGTGGTACAAATAATAAAGGGCATGGATATAAACAGAAGTACTGTACTTGTCAATTTTTTATATTTTTAAATGTACTGTATGCATAGTATTACACTGAATTACAGTACCTGTATATGTATAGTAATTAACTGTTGACTATTGTTAAAATATTTACCAGTCATTATATTGATTTGGTATGAACATCTGTTATGAACTCTGAGCACTCTGTATACTGTACATCAATTGATGTAGCTCATCATTTTCGAGTTAAGAAAGCCACTAGAATATAGTACAAGGTTTCATTAGGATATTTTTAGTGTCATTCGGAGAAAGTCATTCTCTGTATAATTCATTAGCACGTCCTATACTGTGTTGGAATATTGCATGCACTTTAGGTTGTCTTACTTGAGAAATGATATTGCCATATATTGTAGTGGTCAGCATTGTGCAACAAAAATAATACCAAGGCTTTGAATGTAAAGCATACAGAGTGCAGTAAAAACTTAAATTTATTTAGTTTTAAAAGGAGGGAGAATAAAAGGCAATTTAATAAAAGTATTTAATATTAAAAGGAACGACAATCTTGACTCCAGAATGCTTTAATTTTGCAGTCTAATTTCATTAGAAAAATAACTTTAAAATTAAAGGCAAACTTATCAAAGCAAAATCTTGTACACCTGTATCTTTAATCAAATAGTAAACATATGGAACAGCTTACAAAATGATACTGTGTAGTGTATGCGTATTTTTTTTTTTTTCCCGAATTGGACCACTCTGCCAAGAGATTGTCCATTAGCCAATTCTATCCAGCCCACCAAGGGTTCAGGTCCACTGTGATCTGTTTGAGCAAAAGCACACTATATATTTATGTACTGTAAATTATACAAACAATAATTTAGCATTACAGTACAATGTTATTACTTACATCTGTTTCTATCTGCAGGTGGCTTTGCCTTTGTATATATTGCACAAGACCTCAGCACTGGGAAGACATATGCTCTGAAGGTATGTATTTTATTTGCATTATTTATAAATGTATTGCTCAAATGGAATTATATTCATATAGTGCTATTTCCAAATATTAGTTAATTGTAAACATGGTACTGATGGAAAAAAATTCGTCATTTAAACAATTATATACAATACTTAAATACTGTAGATAGATAGATTTCTTAAACTCTGTAACAGCATGCATATACATGGTGCCCTGAACAATATTCCAGGAATGTCTTCAAGTAGTATTTTTTTGTACTAATGTTCTCCATCAAAATATCTTCTTGATAATGTACATTTAATAAGGCCACTAATATGCAAAGTATTTCAGGCATTACTTAAAATAATAGTGAGGCTGTTTAAAGGGCTGGAAGGTGCTAGAGGTTTGGGTGTTATGGGAAGTTGTGGATCTTTCTGTAACAGATTCCAAATGGAAGTAGAGGAAATCTGGTTGGTTTTGCAAAAGAACATTCTTGTGTGTATAAGATTGGGAGGTCACTAGGATTTAACTTTTGGAAATACAGTACTGTAACTAGATGAAGACAGAAGAGTAAATTATAACATTCAAAAAAGTGCTCCAATAGGCAAGCAGTTTGTTGGAATACTAAGAAGAGTGCAAAATGTGGTACTCGCCTAGTTGTGTTTGTGGAGGTTGAACTTCAGCTCTTTGGTCCTGCTTCTCAACTGTCAATCAACTGGTGTACATATTCCCAAGCCTATTGGGCACTAACATATCAACATTTAAAACTGTGTATGGTGTCTGCCTCCACCACACAGTTTCAAATGTAGATATGATAGAGCCCAATAGGCTCTATTGCTCTGGCTCTGGTATTTTATTATTGGTGTTTAACAGATTTAGGAAAACTGTGCTGTAACAATATTTTGTCAGAGTAATTCATGGATTGGTAAGATCAGGAAAAATGGGGGGACCTTTGAAAACCTCCCAGTTTCCTGTCCCTGTTGTGGCCACTAGATAAATGGAAACCCCTCGGGTAAATTTAAGTAAAGTTTAGGTGCTTGAGTTAAACCTCTTCAGTCTGTGGTCTTGGTATGTTGATTGGTCAGGGTGAGAAACTATGAATATATATTGCATTTTGTGTATTGTTATTGTATGTTTATTCCTTCCCCTTGTCATTAAATTGGAAGGCAGAAGGTTATAAAGATCATCTTTATATCCTTCTTTATATACAGATCCATTTTTCCATCTTTATCCTAGATGGATAAAAACAAAAATTTACAAATTATTCTAAGATGGAGAATTGCTTTTCAAACCAGAAATAAGAAAACAAGAGGCCACCATTGTAAAAGCAACTTTTTGTTAAATATTAAATTAAAATAAATTTTTTTATTCAGGAAAAGTACATATAGATGAAGAGTTATATAGCAAGAAGTGTTTTGTCACAAATGTAGAGGTACTGTACTGTAATTGGAATAAACTTCAGGGAAAGGTTGTTTGTGCTAAAACCCCTGTTGTAATTTGTTTAGTAAGAAGGCTAAAATGCAGGTAGCAGTGAACTGCTGCACTGTATATAAAAATGCCAGGAAACTATAATAGCTCTTGTTTTAGTAGGTACTGTATATAATAAAGGCATGCATGTCGAGATGAGAGAAATAGAGAATAAAAAGAGATAAAGAATAAAGATAGACGATAGAAATAGAGGATAGATAGACATGGAGGAAGGTAGTGAGGTCAGGAGGGAGGGAGGCAAAAATGGTGGAAGGGTAGGAGTGTAGGTGGGGAGCCGGTCGGCCGAGCGGACAGCACGCTGGACTTGTGATCCTGTGGTCCCGGGTTCGATCCCGGGCGCCGGCGAGAAACAATGGGCAGAGTTTCTTTCACTCTGTGCCCCTGTTACCTAGCAGTAAAATAGGTACCTGAGTGTTAGTCAGCTGTCACGGGCTGCTTCCTGGGGGTGGAGGCCTGGTCGAGGACCGGGCCGCGGGGACACTAAAGCCCCAAAATCATCTCGAGATAACCTCAAGATAGTAAAGGGAAGAGATCGGGGCAGGGAGGGAGGGAGAAATGGGACATGACGGAAGATAGTAAGCGAGGGGGTGTGGATCAAGAAAGTTTATTTTTTCGTTCAGATAATTACAATAAATATTGCACTAAGTTCTACATGACCTCATTTGTTAAACACCACTGTAGTATACCTATGTACATACATTATGTTTAGTGAATTGGTAGATTTTTACAAACTATTTAGTATTATTACGATTAATGTAGAGTTTACCCTAACTTTTCACATGGGAGTTCTGTATAATGTTTTATTTCATTGCTTTTGGGGAGGTGTTTATTTGACGTAGGAAAAATGCAACATGCCATCATGTTACAAATCTGGTACAATGATTTTATATTTGCTTGACAGGCAAGGCAAAATATTCAGTAATTGCCAATTTAAAATATTCTACTTTACCCTAGATTTTTCTCTCTCTCTCTTTTCCTATAAGAAATGGGTTGGATCAAGCATAGAGCAGCCCACAATCCCACATGAGGATATACTCGACTCACCCACAGTGAGTGAGCAGCTTTCTCCACACTGCTGGAGAATGTTCTTTATTATTCACTGTTCTCAATGAGCTGAGTTTTCAAGTGAGCTTTAGGCCTTCAGTGCCTCGCAAACATATGCATCCGCTGCACATTTTCTTCAGTACTTTCAGCAATAATCTCTGTAGTTTATCTTTTTTTTTCAGCTGATCATTCACCATATCTTTCCTTATGTTTGTGTTGTGATTTTGACAGGATTGAGTTTGGTAATGGTGAGGACATCGCCATGTCACAGCTAAACCCTTAATGACATTTATCATAAATCTTCATGATTCTCACTTACATTTTTACATACTGGATTCATTGCTGTAAAATACAATTTCCTAGAACAGTGGTAAGAAAGACTTTTGTTACTGTATGTGGAAAAGACTTAGTTACTGCTTTTGATGGTTTAGCCTTAAGCTTAACATTTCAAACAATCTTTATTTTAAAAAAAAGTAGGGAGGTTTAATGAAAAAAAATAAAAAATCAATATGGTGGCAATGTTTACCTGAGGGCCACTAACACTAGTGGCCTCGATGAGGACAGGAAGCCAGCGGCTTGTCTAAGGTCCCCCCCCCACCCTATTTGCATTCATGATCTTGTCCAGTTGGATTTTAAAATTTAACAGTTTTGGCATTTACAGCTTTGGTGGGTAGGCAGTTCCATGGGTTTATAACCCTGTAGGTGAAAAAGCATCTCCTGTTCGCAATCCTAAATTGTGGCTTGTTGAGCTTGAAACTGTTGCTCCTTGTTTATATATACTGTACCTTGATTCTTTGATATAGAACCAGCTCTACCACGCTCCAGCAAATCGTCCACAGCAGCATTCCAACTTTACAAATCTGGGCATAAAATGCTCCTTGTTAGTTGTCATATAAAATGTCTTAACATTTACTCCCTCTTCAGTGTGTTACCACCTAATCTTCTATACCACTTGGTGTGTGCTGCTCACTTTCTATTCCTGCTTTATTGCACTCTCATCATGTCTGTCTGTCTTTATATTTCTCTCCCCTATCCTCAAAATTTGCTTGCATTCTCTCTCTGCTAGTTTATCAGAATTCATTTGTGTAACTTTCCAATCTATCTTGGTATTCTCTTCTTAATCATTTGATTTACTAATTTTAAATTCTTCATATTTTCATTCCTTAATCTATTCGTCTAACATCATACTGTAAAGTTTCTAAAATTCTAATTTACCAATTTTTCCTGTTAGTTTTCGGTTCTGCTACACAGCATCTTGAATTACTGGAAATGCTACTTAATCATTACCGGACTTCAGGTATTTTCTATTCCTTAAGACCTAATAGTACTGTCCTTTATATTTATTATATTATAGTGCACTAATTATGTTTCTAGCGGCTGCTGGGTGCTGATCAGGTAGCCTGTGACTCTATTCGTCAAGAAATTTCGATATCCAAGCAGCTCTCAGGACATCCCTACATTGTGGAGTTCTTAGCTGCAGCAGCTATTGACAAAACTCAAAGTAAAGAATGCCGGAATGAGTTCCTCCTCCTAAATGAATTGTGCACAGGTTAGTGACAAATGTATATGTTCAACTGAATTTGATACTGTATTGCTTTTTTATCAGTTTAAGAATGTGCTCTCTGAAGTAAATTGGGTGTAATTTTGTTTATAGAAGATAAAATACATAATTCTTTTTTTAAGTAAATGCTTGTTTATTGTTTTATAAGTTGCTTTTAAACTATGCTGGTGGCGGGTATGTTTTTATTTTGAAATTTATTTTAAAATAAAATGGCAAACTATCATAACTCCTTTCCTGGGGTGGCTTCCTCAGTGGCTCTGCTTAGTGTATGCACTGGTAATCCAGGCCAATACAATCTCACAAGGCATCTAAGGGTATCTCAGCCTACCGGGAGCGGGAACCAGAATCATGCACGCTCAAAACAAGCTTCTTTGTTTTGAGCGTGCTTAATTTCTTGAGCTTACCTGCCTCTTTGATGGGGGACATGATTCTTGTTCTTGCTCCCAGTAGGTTATTAGATAATCACATTTGCCTGATGTGTTAAATTTGGCTTTGGGATGCCAGTGCATGAACTCTAGGAAGCCACGGATTGGAGAGGGGGGGTGGTGCTACCCTAAAAAAACACAAGTTTCAGAATACAGCATATATATTAGGAAAAGCTCACACATAAATGTTCAGTTCACTACCATATGTATGTCTGCATCTCTTACATATATAAATTGTTGGACCAGAGGGAAATAATTCTGTTTCCGTCATATCTACTCTGTATTTTCACCTGTTAACGGTAAGATGTTTCTTACTTACGTAAGAAACATCGTACTTACTACTTACCTGTACATAAGTAAGATGTAAGATGATACATACTTACAATACATAAATATATATACTGTATTAGGCTTGCATAGAGGTCCCCCCCAAGGACTAACTACTAATCTTCCCCTGGATGCAACCCCACAAGTGTTGCCTAACTCCTGGGTACCTATTAACTGGCAGGTGAACAGAGGCGTTTAGTAATTTGTAAATGTTTACATGCATCCTCTAAGTTGCAAGTTTTGCAGCTTCATCAGCAATGTCATACCATGGTATTCCTACATGACTTGCTACCCAGTTGATAAGTATCTGATGACCTTGAAGTTTGAAGGTTTGCATTAATCTATAATGGGGGTTGATGGGAATGTTTTTAAAATTGTTGTAATTTTATTAATTATACGTTGCAGGAGGCTCGCTTGTGGATGCTTTGCGACTCCTAGAGGGTAAATTATTACCAGTGAGCCAGGTGTGCACAATTATGTATCAGACTTCTAAAGCCGTCCAGCATATGCAGGTGAGACATATCAGGCTTTGCATTGCTATGGAAATGACAAAAAATGGTAAAATTTAATTTTTATAATGTTTGTAGATAGGGGGAAACACTTGAAGAGGGAGATGGTGCTGTAGGAAATCCATTGTGCATCACGTGAATTAAACATCTTGGTTGGCTTCTTTGTGTTTAGGCGGGGGTTTTCGTTAACCTTGTTAATCTTCGGCTTTTCATCTGTAGCGAAGTGTTGTTGGCATTCCCTGGAACATTATTTTCAACTGGAGGCTAATGTTTTGTTTTTGTTTATGCTTCATAGTTGAGTAATGGATGCATATATCATGCATATACCCAAGCATCTATTTCATTGTGACTTTAGCCCAGGGTTCTCTTCCTTGGTAGTCAGCTTGCATGTTTTCATACTCCAAGAGAGATACTTTCTCTGAGGGATTCTGGTTCCTTCTTTTTGAACTGATGACTCCCGAGTTGTTTGGTTTCCATGTAGTTCATGGGACTTGTTTTCCACTGTGAGGCCTGTTGATTTGTATAGTAGTTACCTGTGCTGTCTACATACCGTGATTTAAGGGCATGCTGGCTGGTATTCTGGTTGCCACTGGGTGCCAAGCAAAAACATCATGTTTAGGGTATTTACACCATGGCACAGTTTATTTGCCTCCTTACCTAGATTTTGGAGACTGTGTTGTGCAATTTTTTGTTACTATTTCCAAATATACCAGTACAGTAGTGCATTTACTGATACATACATTCATTTACTCATTCATCCATCTAAAAGTAAGAAAAATGCAATCTAATGAAAATAAATATTTTAAAATAGTGTATCAAGTATCTTACATTGTATTTGGAGTACTGTAGTTAATTGAATATATCCAATGCTCCAACAGGCTCAGAATCCTCCTGTTACTCATCGAGACCTGAAAGTGGAGAACCTACTCATCAGTGAATCTGGCCATATCAAACTATGTGATTTTGGTTCAGCCATGACCAAAACTTATTCAATTGATCTGGGATGGAGTGCACATCAACGTTCTTTGCTTGAAGATGAGGTAAAGTTACAAGACATCTTTGAGATATTTTATGCATGTACTCAAGAAAACAGTTACTTTTAATTAATACAGTATGTTTGTATTTTTGTTTATCTAGTTCCAAAATTTGGATGCAATGGACCTACCAATTCACTACCTCAGGAGTGATCGGAATATTTTAAGGTTTATTCTTGAATGATTTAGATCTTCCGCTCTCCCATAATATTCGAATAATATACGTACAGATTCAATATTATAAAATTAAAAATTAGGGCACTTTCCAAGATTTGATGCATTTCTCCGCATTCAATCATGGAATAGTGTTTTGTACAGACCTTCAATATTGTGTTACTTTGGAGTCTGTGTTCCCTTATTTTAGAACCGATTTGTTGTATTAGTTAATATGATGTTAATTTATATTGGACATTGTTTATTTTTGCCAAATGTTCCTAGAATATTATTTGTTAGTTGGCATTTTGTTGGTTGCTGCATGTAGCTTTAACAATAAATCCATTTCTATTTTTAATAGTATAAAGATTCGAGCTGTATTTTGCTGCCACTTCTGTAAGTACTGTACCTTCATGGTGATTATGCACACGTTGGTCAGAATCATGGCAGTCATTCAGGAACACATGCAGCATTGATGCCACGAGGGTATATCTATATACCGGTACACTACGTCATTCCGTGAACTTGCAGGACCATATATAGACACTGGGAGTCACTGGGAAATATGGTCACCCAGCCAGAATAATAGATATTAAAGGGTTCCTTTCTTAAGCCCAACACAATATAGATGTAGTCCAAACTGCCTGAACTAGCAATCAGAACATCTGCTAAATAGCCTGACCCCAACAGGTGGCAGCACCACTGCAAGGCATATCCTGTCCCTGCCCAGAATCCTCACACATTCTGACTGCACAAGTGGTTGATTAGCAGGCTGGAACCAATCATTAAGTTGTCATTATTTTAGACTTTAGCTGAGGTGAGTATACAATTTACTTTTGAAAACTCTTCTTTAGTTGCTTGATATTTTGAGTGTCCCCTATGTATATTTTTAACCAGTAGCCACTGAGTACTCAACCCAAGAGTGTAAAGTATTTACCATTTGCCAGTGACAATTTTCAACCTAGAGACTGGTACATTTCCGCACTTGGGTTGCCTGTCGAGACCTGATGTTATATTGATTGGGCAAAGCAACTGGATAACTGCTCTTGTTCATTACACAGAGAAATCCCATTATCATGATATATCAATGCAAAAAATCCACAGGAGAAAATCCTGTGGATTTTCTCATTGATATACTGTACAGTATCTCGATAATCTGATTTCTCTGTATTGAAAGAGGGGCATCAGAGGTAGAATTACTGGACGACAGAGCCAGAGTGCTTGGGGGAAATTGTGTGAAATCCTGGTTCAGCTTCAGTGGAAGCCTCGGGAATCCTTGAGGGTGCAGTAGTACTCCAGGTTGCAATTCTTTTGACCATGTCGTGGTGTAGTCGACTAGAGCATGCATCTGGGAACATCCATCTCATAGGTTCAAATCCTCATCACAGATTATTGTAGTTACTCTTGGTATGAGTGGTGCATCTGATGAACTTGCTTAGAAATGTTTGGTTATCACTTGGGGTCGAACATCAGCTGTGTGCGGTACCTTGCACGATTAGAATTGCGGAACTTTACATGCTGGGCCATTGCTTTGTTTTGTTGATTAATCTCTGCACTTCACAGTTGTTTTATACCACCAACTTTGTGTATTGTCCAAAGTCAGAGCTCTTGTATTGCTCTGACTTTGGACCGATGTTGCTGTTCCTGATGGCTGGCTTGTCCAAGTTGCTGCACCAGAGGTATCTTCTTTTCAGAGTTCTTGTTCTTCAAATAAGGGTCAGTCCTTTTGAGTCTCCTTACTTCTACATAGCATGTGGGCAATTGTCACTATCACAAGACCTATTGCTGGAGAGCTGACTTAGTTTTTGCTTTGTGCTAGTGGGTGCATTGTACCTTTTGTCCTAACTCGTGTGTCTTGGTGACCTGCAACTCTGCTAAACACAACACTTTGGTTGTCTTTAGTGACTTTTTCTTATGACTTAATAAACACATCTTCCCTCATCAGACATTAATTGGGTTTGATAGCACATCCCTTATGTCTCGCATGTCTGCCTGTTTACGTAACAGCCTGGGCAGTCGGCTTCTATTGCATATGGAATGGTTTTTCCTTGTTTTTGCTGTTAATTAGAAATTTACTGCTTGCAGCTTTCCATGCCCCAATTCTGTGTTGTTTTTGGGTACTGATGATCATTCCTATTGCTTCTGTAATTTTGCTTGGTGGGTGCAAGAGTTCTTCTACCCTAGGATTTGGGGCATTTGCCATTATTAGTGTTCTATGGTGACCTATTTTCAACATTGAAAGTGAAAGTCTTGTCGACGTCAAACCTCTGGTTGATCAGCGCTGCCGTCTGTTGATGGGAGGAGGGTGTTATCTTTGGTGTTTGGAATAGTTTTGAGTTTTATTTTGTATGTGTGTGTACCAAATATTTCTGTGAGTGTTTTGATTTCTTATGACCCTTTCAGTTTGTAAGTGTGGTGTCTTGTGTGGTGTCATAAAGTACCAGTGAACAATCTCTGGGAAGCCACTGAAGGGTTACCTCAGAAAATATATTAAATTTTAGGGTGGGCTTGACCATTGAGGAATGTCTTGTAAAAATATAGATGCAGGATAAGAGTTAAGTCAACCTCGGGTTTATATTAAAGCCTGTGATGTGAGAAAGTTTACAGCCTACAAGGAATTCTTTGCAGCAATATCCTATGAGGAGAGTCAATCATGTGGGTTCTGTTAACTAAATAGAATATTTGCTCTTGGCAGCTTTCCTTGGGTAGCCTGACCCAAACAGGTGGCAGCACCACTGCAAGGCATATTCTGTCCTAGCCCAGAATTCTCACATTCTGACTGTACAAGTGATTGATTAGCAGGCTGGAACCAGTCATTAAGCACTGATGTTTGGTCCCTAGTTTTCTTTGGTCAGTTAGTTAATACTGCGGGTCTTAATTCTGCAGTGCCTGTGTTTACACTTGGCACTTTTCAGAACTATAGTCTCCAGTGCCATCATACAATGGGTTTGTACTTAAGGTTTCAGCCACTAGGATCTTCATTCCAGCATAGGCTAATCCTGTCAAATATGTGGTAAATGATTTAGGTGATTTTTGTGTGGGGCTATACTTTTAGAAGTGGCAGCATACTAATTCACAGACATTATACTTTGAACTTGTGAAAAATCCCCTTTCTGAGCATATTCATACTGCATCTCCCTTTACCCTTCCTCCCCAAGAACTTTCTGACCCATGCTTTCTTGGGAAACTCTTGGTCAGAATGTATGTGGTGATTCTGGGTTGGGGCTAGGCCTGCCTTGCAGTTGTACTGCAGTTCGAACAGACCATTTTGATAATCTGTATTCTGGCTGGGTAACTTTACAATTTGGTGGCTTCCAGTACCGTTAACACGATTTTGCAAGAGTGCAGCATGATTCAGTGTACATATGTAGTTTCTGATAGCATTGATGTCTTAAATGTTCCTGCTTGACAAGGCTCAGAGGATCACTATCCCTCTGGGAGAAGCAGCATATATTTGCTCAGAAAAGGACTTTTGATAAGCTAAATGCATACTTTGTCTTATGGAATAATGCTAGATGGGGAAGGAGATGGGTCTTTGCCCTAATGTTCTTGATAACAATTCTAGTTTGATGTCTTTTGCTATTATTTCTTATTTTTTCTTAATAAGGCATATGTCATAAATTATGTGGCATATTGTCAAAAGGTCTTTTGCAAGTATTCCCATATGTGACTTATGTGACTAATATTTCAAGAAAGTACTATAAACACACACACAATGATCCCACATATAAGTACAGTAGGTACTTTCATAAAATTGCATGGGCCATGGTGCAGATATAGGGTACTACAGTATAAAATGTCATGGTAAACATACTTTTGATATTAGCTAAGTTAAAGATTCACTATTCAGTTACAATGTGTTGAATGTGTTACAGATGGCACAGCACACCACACCAATGTACCGTGCTCCAGAAATGCTAGATACATGGAATAACTATACCATAAATGGCCAGGCAGATATCTGGGCACTGGGCTGCATCCTTTACTACCTCTGCTATCTTAAACATCCTTTTGAAGATTCTGCTAAACTAAGGTAAGTTTACATTGTGTGAGCTTTTATTCATTTCTAATATTGGTTATAATTCCATATTTTGCATGTAATCATCTCCTTTGTGGACAATGTGTTTGCTGTTTATTGCTTCCCATATTTACTGTTTTCCGTCATCTAGAAACTGAGTCTGCTCGGGCTTTCGCTCTTGGAGGGCAATACACTTCTTTGGTGGGACTAGGTATAAGATGGGCAGTTTTGATTATACTGTAGTCCCGTGGACTTAGGAGGACCAGTTCCTCGGATGCCATTCAAGCTTCCCAGTCGATTCCTGTGTGTACTTTTCCTGTTATCCTTGAGATCTCCTTAACATTTACACTACTTCTTGTGGGCTCTGTGGGATGGCAGGGACACAGGTAAGTGAAGGCTGATTCATGACTTACATGCTTTTTTCATCTTCTAAACCTGAGACTTGTCCGGTGGGTGACCTACATTTTTTTTTGGTCAGGGACCGGAAGACTGCGTATATAATGCATATACTTTAGGCTTGTTTCTGTTTACCCCAAAGGTTGAATTATTGACTCTTACCTAGGATGCAACACCGTGTTGCATCCTCCAGTTAGCTAATTCCCAGATACCTATTTGCTGCAAGGTGAACAGAGGTACTAGGTGAAAGGAAACTTGTTCAACCATTTCAGTCCTGCCCAGGAATTGAACCTGGGATTGATTGTGAGTTGAGAGTGACGCTGGCTATACTAGGATACAATCAGTAATTAAAATGTCGTGTAAAGATGTGACGTGCGAAAGTCGCTAAATTGTAGGATTGAGTGTATCGAGTTTCTCATTTAATTAATAAAATGATGATGTTGCCTTTATTCTTATATTCTTTCATTGAGGGCTGCCTGTGTGTTATTGCTGATAACTAATTTTATTTCTTACACAGATATTTGCCATTAATTATTCCTCCTATTTATTAATTGTTTATTTACAGTACTGTATTTTTATTCTTTTGCAGAATTGTTAATGGTAATTTTGCTATTCCTACCAATGATGGCAAATATGATTGCTTTCATGAGCTAATACGAGGCATGCTGAAGGTAGACCCAAACCAAAGATTTAAGATATCAGATATCTTGGATAGATTAGCTGCCATTGCAGAGACCAAAGATTTTGACATGAAGGCTCCACTAACAATAAAATACAAGAAGATTGACTTGACATCTCCAGGTTAGTGTAAAAACAAATTATATTTATTTTTAATTCTTAAACCTCTCAACTAATTTAAAGTCCTGTATGCATGAGCATATGCAAAAAGTTCTATGCATGGGAATTTTTCTTCACAATACAAATGTAAAAAACCATATACGTATGGTGATTTGATTACAGGAGGTAATCACAGATAATAATTTGAGCCCTTTATTAAGGGGGTCCAATGTGTGTGTGTCTATATATATTTATAATACTGAATCAAATCATGCTAATTTGTGTAAATTTTGTCTGATATAAATGGCAGTACTTCAGCCTGAGAGTAATGGAAGGGTTAATGAAAGGCGGTGCGGTGCTCCCGACCGTCCCCCTGCCCGTCCTCCTGCTCCACGGTCTCCACTACCACAACGACCACCACCTCCAGCCTCACAACCCCAGCAAGGTGTGGCCATATTCAATTTTGCATCACTGTTAATGTCAGGATTGTCAAACTCCTTTGCTATGGTGGGCCATGACCTAGAAGACCTTTTCCCTACAAGGGCAAGAGAAAACTCATAAGAGAAAAAGCACTCATAAGAGAAAAAGCACTCATAAGAGAAAAATATTAATAATAATAATAATCATCATTTACTTTATTTCATGTCCTTAGAGTTTTGTTAGTTTGAAGTGCTCATGGGGGCCTTTTCATATACCCTCAATGTATATTGCTTTGGGTGTTGTGTGTAAATACCTAAGTGTAGTTACAGTAGTTACAGCATGAGAGCTATGCTCATGGTGTCCTGTCTTTCAAGTACTCTTTGACTTACGATGCTTCGAAGCTATTGAGAGTTTTGGCCTCCACCACCTTCTCACTTGTTCCAACCCTCTTATCATGCTGCAACAGAGAACCTTCTAATATTTTTTTGGACCTCTGTTTCCTTAGCTTGAATCCGTGTTCTCTTGTTCTTGAAATTGCAGGTTTCAAGAAGATCTCGTTGTCAATTTGGTAAATTCCTCTTATTATTTTGTGATCATATCGCCTCATTTTTTTTTCTATCTTGTAGTTTTGGCATATTTAACACTTCTAGCCCCTCCTCAAAGCTCATGATTTTGAGTTCTGAAAGCCATATAATAGCATGTCTTTGTACCTTTTCAAGCTGCATATTTCCATTTTAGTGTCTCAAAAGTAGTGTTTTTTTTTTTAGTCACCATCTACATGTTGAAAAGATTCTGAGGTTGGAAAGTGTAGCATAGACTCCTCACATTATGGCCTTAATGTTGTCCTCTGGTGACAGAACTTTCCAGACCCACTCCCTAGATATTTTTCTTTGTCAGAGTTCTTTAATGCCTTTCCACATAATTTATAGGTTGTGTGTGTGTGGCATATTTTCTCCTATTCCACATGCCACAATGTCATTTATTCACAGTGAATTCCATCTGCCAAGTGTTAATCCATATACTGTGTATATATTTTGTCAAGGTCATCTTGAAGGGCACGACAGACAATTGTCAAAGTTTCTTATCTTCCCTGGTAACTTCAGCAAATGTGTTCATATAATTGTGTATCTTTCTGGAAGAGCTTTCATATAGATGATAAACTGAACCCCTGTGGTGCTCCACTAGTAACATTTCTTCAGCCTGATACATTGCTTCTGATTATTGCCCTCATTTTTGTCACTTTTATTTTTATCCATGTCAGAAGTCTTCCTGTCACACCTCCAGTATCGATGTTTGTATTTGTTAGTGTTTTAAATTTGTTATAACTAACAATAATGTATTATCAGCTTTTTTTTTATTTTTCAACTAGATATTATTAAATTTTGATTCAAGTGATTTTTATGACAGGATGTCTGTGATAAAATATAATGGATTTTGTGTGTGTGGTTCAGAACATGATTAAATTTAGTTTTCCAACATTAGAATGTTTCCTATATTTTTGTCAATAATCTTGCTAATTTATAGCAGTCATGACGTAATGTAATTGTGCTTGCTTCAGTGTACTGTCTCGACACAAGTTAGTTCGTCCATAGTGTCAACAGGATCTCGGTGATAAAGTCTTCAGAAAGAAGTTCAGTTTGCCTGCAGTAACCAGATTGGTATTTACAGATCGTAATATGTGTAATTATGTTGCAGGTATGAGTGGGCAAGGTGTACAGCCTCAGCAACAACCAGCTGCTGGTGGTGGTTTATTTTCTTCTATTAAGGGATACTCGGGCAGTATCTTCAAGAACCTCAAGGATACATCCAGCAGAGTCATGCAGACAGTTAGCCAGTATGTGGTGCCTCATACACTTTTAACACTTCATATTTTGTATCTGTAATAATTACATATTATACTGTACTAGACAAGTCCTATGCAGACGATGAATCACAGTAACGTGGCTGAAGATATGATGACCAAACCACACGTCAGAAAATGAAGAAATGATGATGTTTCAGTTCATCCTGGGCCTTTATCAAGTTGTGTAGTAGAAGAGAGGGAGGTACAGTTAAATTCGGTTGACCAGACCACACACTAGAAAGTGAAGGGACGACGACATTTTAGTCCGTCCTGGACCATTCTCAAGTCGATTGAGAATGATCCAGGACGGACCGAAACGTCATCGTCCCTTCATTTCCTAGTGTGTGGTCTGGTCAACGTACTTCAGCCACATTATTGTGATTCATCGCCTGCAATTAAACTACGTCTCTGAACCTCTGAAAAGAATGGCAAAATTTTCAGTTTACATTACTGTACTATTCTGTATAGTACTGTAAATAGTATGCATTTTCATTTGACAGTGAAAATGCATACTGTAAGTACAGTATATACATATAAAATCCTTAAAAGGCAAAAGTTTTCATTAGTTTACTAATCTGTATCCAACATATAAATATTACATGCATCACAGTACTATACACGGGATAGGGATTTCTCATTTTTATAAAAGTACAGGTACAGGTAAATAGAAATTAAATTTTTTCAGGTCAATTACTCGGACGGATCTTGATCTCTCTCACATTACGTCACGTGTGGTTGCTATGTCGTACCCAGCCGAAGGGTTAGAGTCGGCTTACAGAAATCATGTTGACGATGTTAAAGGTAAGGGTAAAGCACTTCGTACGGAGAGATGTTCTTTTATTGTATTATTACATACTGCATATAGATAATTGTAGATTTTCTAAATTTCCACTAAATACAAAGTTTTTTATTGCCTATTATACTGTGGATTGTGTGAAAGTATCATCAAGTTGAATAGAGTCTAATGATTTATATTTGTAGGAGCACAAAAGGTGATTTCTGATTTGAATTTTCCTTAAAAAAAAAAAGATCCAAAAATTCTCAATTATTTGACTTATGATATCAATAGCTTTATACTGTATATACATTATAATGTCATGTAATAAATTAATCTGATTAGGCATTAAATTTTCATTGCCCACCAAACTAGCTATCAGCGCAACAGCAGTGCTGCTATTTTGAGTGCTATTTTTCATTCATTCAAATAAAAAAAGTACTGTATTTGGCTGATTTCTTTCAAATGAAGTTTAAAGTATTGCTAAATAAAGACTGCTTATGCTAAGAGAAACAAGAATGGACCAATTACTGTATTGCAAAAAATTAAAAAAATCTGAAATGGCCTCAAATATTAAACATATCTTATGAAAACTGGTTATGTTCACTTTACTTATTGAGCTGCTATAATGCTTGAAAAGTGATTGCAGTACTATAATTTTCAAAATGTCTCTTACAGCGGTTTTGGATGGCAGACATCCAGGGCATTACGTGATCTATAATGTATCTGGTCGCCAGTATCATTCAACGAAATTCACTTCGAGGGTGGTGGAAGGAAACTGGTCTGGGAAAAAGGCCCCTACATTGGGTGCTCTTTATAACTTGGCCTGCAGCATCCATGATTACTTAGCTAAGGACCCTAAGAACATTGTAGTAATCCACTGCATTGTAAGTAATTTATTTAATATTGTACTGTACATAGTGTTCTTGTTATATGGATGTTCCCATATGGCTTGTAGCAAAGAACAAACTGGATCATAAATATATAGATAATAAATTGGGAGACACACCAGTTATTATCCTGGTATGTGAAAATATCATGATAACGTGTTGACGTGCACAAGCTCTATAGAATGGGTGTTGTCTGATGAATAAAGTCATCTCTCAAGCTACAATAGGTATAAAAATAAAATACAAATTTAGCCAAAGGCAATTATGTTAAAGGTAACATTACCTCTTTTTTTGTTCACAACATATTAGGATGGTAAAGCTTCAACTGCAATGCTGGTGTGCTCATTCCTCCTGGTATCTCATGCTTTCAAGAGACCTGAACAAGCACTCAATATGTTTGCAATTAAAAGATGCCCACCTGATCTTCAGCCATCTCAGTTCAGGTAAAAAGTGTGTCACTAATATTTATATAATCAAATATTTGTGCCTAATTATTGCTATAATAATGGGAAAGTTTATTTAAGTACAGTAAGTCTCTTGAGAGATTTATGAATATTAAAATACAGTAACAGGGAAATATTAAAGTTGTAAGACAGGATCAAATCTGTATCCTTGAACTCCTTGGGCACGCACACTACCAACTGGTATCAAATGATGCCATCCAAACTTCGTGTGACTCGCCTAGTACTTTGGGTTGAGATGCTTTTAAGTCGATTGTGGCCCTGTTGGTAGTGCATGTACCTGAAGGAGTTCAGGAATTCAGGTTTGATCCCATTGTCTGGCTTCAATAATTTGTCATGATACTGTATATCACATTCTTGCAAATTTCATTGTGTAGAGTAACATAGGTTTGATATTTGGTTCATTAAGTGACCTAAAGCTCATAATTACATAGTGATGTAGAATTTATGAAATTGGAAGGTTATCTAGAGGTTATCTTGAGATGATTTCGGGGCTTTAGTGTCCCTGTGGCCCGGTCATCAACCAGGCCTCCACCCCCAGGAAGCAGCCCGTGACATGCTCAAATCTCAAAATATTTTTTACTGGTATACAGTATAGGTATTGTAGCTTCTTTTAAGGGACACAGCTTTGTTTTCTTCTTTTAATAAGCTTGAGTGGTTATGTGAGTTTAGTTAGAGTATTGCTGATGAAATTCTTTTTATTTAGTCAACTACATCATTTTACCATTCTTGCTGTCATTGGGTTGAGAGGTATTAGTCTGTAATTACCTAGTGTAATTACTTATACTCTACCTGCCTATAGAGGATAAGACAAACAGTGGTCTATAAAAAATGAAGTTTAAGGTATTAGTAAAAGGAATTTTTGTAAAAGTAATTATAATTTTTATGTGATAAGCAGCACCATTATCATCCAGCCAGTCATCCACTGCAGCATTTCTCTTCTTCAAAGACTGGGTATATACTACTGCTTGTGTGTTATCATATATTAACAAGTACAACATTCACCGGTCATTAGTTGATATTATTTAACGTACACTGTTCTTTCAGTTCTTGCTTCCTGTTATACTTACCATGATGGCCCACCTTTGCCTTCTCTATTCATAAACTCAGATTTGCTGGAGTTAACTCTTTACTATTACCATTCATTTGTTATCTTGACCTAAACCTTCTCAGTACTGTAAATTTTCTCAATAGAATATTATGAGTTGTTAAGATTTGCCATGTACTGTGCATCTTTCTATGATATTTCATTGCGTACTCTGACTTTTCTTCAAACTTTATACATACTAGTAGTTCTTAGAAGCTCCAGCTCTGCTCTGATTCTTGGCTCTTCATGTTTGTACCACACCAGCATTTCATTTTCATATATTTCTACAACTGCAATCAATCAAAAATGTTATTCATAAAAGGTTATAAATTTATCATTAATTTTGCATTAAATTACAGTATGTACATTAGTTACACAATAACAGTATAGCACATAAGCATTGTTATTATACTGTGGTATAACCTTGAGGTTACTTTGAGGTGCTCCCGGGGCTTAGAGTCCCCGCGCCCCGGTCGTCGACCAGGCCTCCTGGTTGCTAGACTGATCAACCAGGCTGTTGGACGCGGCTGCTCACAGCCTGACGCACGAATCACAGCCTGGTTGATCAGGTATCCTTTGGAGGTGTTTATCCAGTTCTCTCTTGAAAACTGTGAGGGGTCGGCTAGTTATGCCCCTTATGTATATTGGAAGCGTGTTGAACAGTCTCGGGCCTCTGGTGTTGATAGAGTGTACTACAATTTGGATTTTATTCTTCTTAACCAGAGCTTTCATTGCACCAGTCACCAGTGATGGTGTGTACTATCTGGAGCTTTCAAGTAACCTCATTAATTATGTATTCTTGCTGAAAGGTGAGAACAACCATCTTTGGATCAAACTGTTTGTTTTCATAGATCTTTGTGTCTGTGATGTTGGTGCAGTGAGTTTATGTGACTTTAAAGTTTTTACCTTCATGATTGCCTTCCAGGTGAATGCTACATAGATTCCTCAGCTTGGTGTCTTCTTTTGATTATTACTTACCTTACCAGATAATATCATGATTGTTCTAAATTGAAATTGAAGGTCAATAAAGATTTTTTTGCCCAATGCATTTTTCTGAGGTTTTAAATTGTTCATATTATAGATGTTACAATATTTAAAGACTGCTTAAAAGGAAATCTTTTGATATTGATGTGCTTGTGCTTTAAGATAATGTAATTTTTATGCTGAATATACAGTACACTGATGTATGTTGACCAGACCACACACTAGAAGGTGAAGGGACGACGACATTTTGATCCGTCCTGGACCATTCTCAAGTCTAATCCCAATCGACTTGAGAATGGTCCAGGACGGACCGAAACGTCGTCGTCCCTTCACCTTCTAGTGTGTGGTCTGGTCAACATACTTCAGCCACGTTATTGTGACTCATCGCCTGCATACAGTACACTGAGCTTTGTAGCCCATTGTTATTGAGTGTAGAGGATGTGAAAAATGGCCAGGTGCCATTTGGAGTTGTCTTAATATACTGTATCAGTAATATTCTCATTAAGTATAATTTCATTTTATCATATGAATAGATCACAAGTTTATAGGACTTCTAGTTTTATTATTGTTATTTGAAAGGATATATATAATTTCAGGTATCTTGAGTATATTCGTGATCTGGTGTCTTCTCCGCCAACTGTGCCACATTTTAAGCCTGTGACGCTGACCTCGATCATTGTCTCGCCTATCCCACTCTTTACGCAGAGAAGGTAACTTGTATTTCTTCAGATTTTATGCTTAGCACTTAGGAGTTTGTTATATGTCTATTTAAATTTTGATCTTTGTACTCTCCTGGGTCAATTTTGAGAGCTAATTATATATATGATATTTGTCTTAGACTTAATTTTCATTCTAACATCACACACTTGCATAACGTGAATTTTAAAACTTGAGTAGTTGGTTGCAAACATGTATTTGTAGAGCAAATTCGCAATTTACAAAGTGTTTAGAAAAGTATTTTTCCCGGCATTTTTTTTTTTTTTTATTCCCAAAGGAGTAAGGACTTAAGGCTCGATCTGGGAGCAGTGTTTTGGCACTAGCGAGAGTTTAAAGATCTTTGGGTGTCCCTGATTATTTATAGATTGTATTTCTCTCATGAATTCAGTACTTGTGGTGTGACCTTTTACCACTTCATTCACAGTTCTCTTAGCTTCAGACAGTGACTTCAGTGCTTTGCTCCACATTGAGTACACGTGTCCATTATTTCACCTTGTGTGTGTGTGTATACCATCTTATTTACCCAACAGCACTCCTTTATATATATATATATCAGTTTTTATCTTTTCATGAGCATTGCTAGCCTTTGGTACTAGCCATCACAATTTTCAGATTTTGCAGATTCCTAACAGGATCCTTTTTCCTTTGGTGGAAGAAGGCTACCTTGTTCCTGAATTCTTCAGGTCTTTCTTGGGGGCTCATTCTCTGCATCTATTAATAGTGGACTCCTCATTCCTTCCCTTCCCTACAATTTTGGACTTGGCAGCACCTTGTCCAGATGCCGAAGTAGCTTGTGGCATTGGGTGGCGGTGGACTACAAAGTCCTTCTTGGCAGAGATCCTCCATTCGTGTACAGTACACGAGATATTCTTGGAGCAGTTCTAAGTTGATTTCATTTCTTCTTGTGAGACTTCTACCTTTTCTGCCTGGTCATCTGCTGAGCTGCAGATGCTTTTCTCAGCAAGTCCACTATGGGCTCACCATAGCCCGTGCTACTTGGACCTTTTTGTTCCGAGTAGCTGAATCTAAAACAAGAAGAAGCTTTTCTCAAATTGGTTGACTCCTCTCCTGCAGGATACTGTGATGGACTTTTAAGTGGTTTGCTTGTGGCTGTAAGTTGCCAATATTTGACTTTACTCAGTAGTCTGCTTCATTGCTTTCTCTCTCACTTGCTTTCCCATTTTTTTCCCAAGAGGTGAATGTTAATTGCGTTTTTGGTGGCAGTGGGTGTGCCTTATGTTTCTTTACATTAAACATGAGTTTTAGGGGTAAAAATGCATCTATTACAATGACAAATAAGGTATGTTCAACAAATTAGTAAAGAGAATCCAAGTTATTTTGTTTGTAATAAGAATATATATGTGTGTGTGCTATTGTTTTTACTGTTAAAAACAAGAATATTTAAAATTAAGTAGTGAAGAATAGCATAGTCTTGATGCAATAATAGGTCTAAACCTGAGTTTGGGGGTACAATATAAATCTGGCCATTCAGGTGGAAGTCCACTGTACATACACAGTACTGTAGTAAGATTAGGAATAAAACCTCAGTTACCCAAATGCATTTAATCTGTATCTAGTTTTTTATTTGTGAAATCTATAACACTTTAATTTCAGAGATGGAGCACGTCCTTATGTAGAAGTTTGGCAGGGTGAACACAAAATGCTCTCTACCCTTCAAGAATATGACCACATGAGGTTGTATATGCCACCAGACAATAAGGTGAGTTCAAGGAAAGTGTGTGTGTGTGTAATTACCTAAGTGTAATTACCTAAGTGTAGTTACAGGATGAGAGCTACGCTCGTGGTGTCCCGTCTTCCCAGCACTCTTTGTCATATAACGCTTTGAAACTACTGACGGTCTTGGCCTCCACCACCTTCTCACTTAACTTGTTCCAACCGTCTACCACTCTATTTGCGAAGGTGAATTTTCTTATATTTCTTCGGCATCTGTGTTTAGCTAGTTTAAATCTATGACCTCTTGTTCTTGAAATTCCAGGTCTCAGGAAGTCTTCCCTGTCGATTTTATCAATTCCTGTAACTATTTTGTATGTAGTGATCATATCACCTCTTTTTCTTCTGTCTTCTAGTTTTGGCATATTTAATGCTTCTAACCTCTCCTCGTAGCTCTTGCCCTTCAGTTCTGGGAGCCACTTAGTAGCATGTCTTTGCACCTTTTCCAGTTTGTTGATGTGCTTCTTAAGATATGGGCACCACACAACAGCTGCATATTCTAGCTTTGGCCTAACAAAAGTCATGAACAATTTCTTTAGTATATCGCCATCCATGTATTTAAATGCAATTCTGAAGTTAGAAAGCATAGCATAGGCTCCTTGCACAATATTCTTTATGTGGTCCTCAGGTGATAGTTTTCTATCTAGAACCACTCCTAGATCTTTCTTTATCAGAATTCTTTAAAGATTTCTCACATAATATATAGGTTGTGTGGGGTCTATGTTCTCCTATTCCACATTCCATAACATGACATTTATTAACATTAAATTCCATTTGCCAAGTGGTGCTCCATATACTTATTTTGTCCAGGTCTTCTTGAAGGGCATGACAGTCATCTAAATTTCTTATCCTTCCTATTATCTTAGCATCATCAGCAAACATGTTCATATAATTCTGTATACCAACTGGTAGATCATTTATGTACACAATAAACATCACTGGTGCAAGAACTGAACCCTGTGGTACTCCACTTGTGACATTTCTCCATTCTGATACATTGCCTCTGATTACTGCCCTCATTTTTCTATCAGTCAGAAAATTTTTCATCCATGATAGAAGCTTACCTGTCACCCCTCCAATATTTTCCAGTTTCCAGAACAACCTCTTATGTGGAACTCTGTCGAAAGCCTTTTTTAGGTCCAGATAGATGCAGTCAACCCAACCATCTCTTTCCTGTAATATCTCTGTGGCTCGATCATAGAAACTGAGTAAATTCGATACACAGGATCTTCCAGATCGAAAACCATACTGTCTGTCTGATATTATATCATTTCTCTCTAGGTGTTCTACCCATTTAGTTTTGATTAGTTTTTCCAATACTTTCACTATTACACTTGTCAATGATACAGGTCTATAATTGAGGGGGTCTTCCCTGCTGCCACTTTTGTAGATTGGAACTATGTTAGCCTGTTTCCACCCGTCTGCTACGATTCCTGTACACAGGGATGCCTGAAAGATCAGGTGAAGTGGAATGCTGAGCTCAGATGCACATTCTCTCAGAACCCATGGTGAAACGCCATCTGGGCCAGCTGCTTTGTTCTTACCGAGCTCCTTGAGCATTTTTTCCACTTCGTCTCTAGACACCTCTATGTGTTCTATGTTGTTCTCTGGAATTCTTATTGTATCTGGTTCCCTAAAGATTTCATTTTGTACAAACACACTTTGGAACTTTTCGTTTAGTGTTTCACACATTTCCTTTTCATCTTCCGTGAATCTATTTCCCATTTTCAACCTCTGAATATTATCCTTTACCTGCAATTTGTTGTTTATGAATTTATAGAATAGACCTGGTTCTGTTTTACATTTGTCCGCAATCCCTTTTTCAAAATTTCTTTCTGCCTCTCTCCTCACTGCCGTGTAGTTGTTTCTCGCATCTTTGTATCGCTGGTATGTTTGGGGGTTCGGCCTCTTCCTGTATTGATTCCATTTTTGTGTCTTTCGGTCTCTAGCCCTCTCGCAATTTCTATTGAACCAATCCTGTTTCCTAGTTCTGCATCTCTGTTTTGGTATAAATTTTTTTGTGCCTTTATCATATATTTCACAAAACTTGCCATACATCTCATTCACTTCCTTGCCTAGCATCAAGTCTGTCCAATTATACTCACTAAAAAAATTTCTTAGGTCACCATAATGTCCTCTCCTGAAGTCTGGTTTTTCAACTGCTTCAACCTCCTTATTTTCTTCCAGCTTATAACGCATTGCATACTTTATTCCCAAAAAGACATGGTCACTTTTACCCAAGGGAGGAAGGTACTGAATGTCAAATATCTCTTCCTCCTTCCTGGTAAATATCAAATCTAGCATGGAGGGAACGTCCCCTTCCCTCATCCTCGTAGCTTGTTTAACATGTTGATACAAGAATGTTTCCAGGATGAGGTCTACAAATTTACAGGTCCAAAAATCTTCTGTTTTAGCTTCATATGCTTCCCAGTCTATGGATTTCAAGTTGAAGTCACCGACTATCAACAGTCGTGATCTATCGTTATCCGCTCTCGCTATAATCTCTCTCATTATTGTTATAAGACCTTCACGTTTACTATCTAGCTCCTCCTTTGACCATGTGCTGCTTGGCGGTGGACTATATGCATTTATCATCATTAGTTTATCATCCTCATAGCAGATCTCTAGTGCTATTATGTCAACTTCTTGTGGATTGGCAGTCATTATTTCCTTCACCTTTAGGTGTTCTTTTACCAGCACAGCAACGCCACCGCCTTTCCTAATTTTTCTGTCCCGTCTCCAAATTGAGTAGCCCCTTGGGAATATGACCTCATTTAAAATTACATCTTCAAGTTTTGTCTCCGTGAGTGCAACAATGTCTGGTGTCTGCAGCTGTATTACATCACTTAACTCCAGTATCTTCGATCTCACTCCATCTATGTTGGTGTATGCAGTCTTCAGGAACTTGTTCCCCCTCTCCTTATTCTTCACTCCCCCTCTCTCTATTGATTTTGTTGGTTTGCCTTTATGTACCACTTTACTGGTTTGCCTACCCCTATCACTTTGTAGAAAAAAGAATTTATTTCTTCTTCATTCCTGCTCTCATTTAAATGTTTTGCCTCGGCGAGGTTCAGTTTCAGCTTCTCTCTATCTTCTTTTGAAAGATCTCGTCTTAACGACCACCCTTTCCCATCCTCATCCCTTTGCAATTTTCTAGCATTCCTTAGTACTTCTTCCATCTGTTTGGCACCGTTTAGGGTGATCCTCAAAGGTCGATCTTTCCCTTTTACGTACCTGCCTATTCTCCTGTAGTCGCACACATTCTCTCTGTTTGTAAGACCTTCCACGAGGCCAACAATTTTATCTACTACTTTAGCTTCTTCTACAGCTCTTTCTGACCTAGATGTTATCGCCTTTTCTTTGCAGCCAAAAATGATCAGGGACTTACTCCGATCAACTGTGTTTTGCACCAACTTCGGGTTAGATGCCAATTCTTTTCTCACTTCCAGCCTAATGTTTGTTTTATCTTGGTTGCTGCAGTGTTTGACTTCCTTTACTGCTTCTTCTATTTTTTCCTTCTCCTTGGCCACTTGTGCATAAGTGAGTTGCATATCTTTCTTGCACTGTTCTATTCCCTGTGTAACTTCCTCCATCTGTGCTGACAAAAGCTGTTTCTCCTGTTGAATTTCCTTGCCTAACCTATTGTAGTCATTTATGTTTAAATTTACTTTAACTTCTTCCAAAGCTATTTTTAAGAGTTTATTTTCTTCTTCCATGGCTTTGCAATTTGTTTCCAATTGATTCTTATCCTTGCGCAAGTCTTTCACTAAACCCTCAAGACATAAAACTTTGCTATTCAAATGGTCATTACTTTCTTTCAATTTACTAATTATTTCTACATGAGAGTTCACTATAGTATCTAAATTTACCAACTTGTTATGTAGACTACTAATATCAATGCTTTCTTCATTGAATCCCTCAAAATCAAGCTCTGTTTTGTTTTTCCCCTTGCCAGTGGCCATCTTGAATGTTCTTCTCTGCACTGTAAACACTAGGGCAACTTTTTCTCAACCGATTTTTCACTTCCCTTAGCACTTTCCTGTTATCTCACCTATTTTTCAAGAGCACTATACCTTTATGTTCTCTGGGACACCACTCACTACCATCAACCTGTACTACAATACTTAGGATTGTTGAAATATGCTGGAGCTCCTCTGCTGCAAATGTTGACCCTAGGGGTGTCACCTTTTGAATCATGTGTGTGTGTGTGTGTGTGTGTGTGTGTGTGTGTGTGTGTGTGTGTGTGTGTGTGTGTGTGTAGATTTAAAAACATTTGCCAGATTAGGATCTACAGTATATCATTATCATGACCCCTTTATATCCCATCATTATTGTAATCATCACTGCCACTTCTGTCAGGATTTTTTTTATTTGTTTTCATAATAATAGGAAAAGTTGGATACAGGTAAAGAATGACTTTTGACAGTATGTCTCACCCTCATTACTCTGGAAACTTTATAAGAGTATTTTACTATTGTATTGTACTACATTACTATTTCTACATATCCACAGCAGTATGATTCAGATTCACAAATTTCCCCTCTTCTAAATAATTTATCATGCTTTGGGAATCTATATCCAGATTTTTTAGTTTTCTGTTAGCAGGTGATACAGTACACACTATATATAAACAATAAATATCCTAAAAATGTCGCACTTTTATATATTAACTTTCCATTTTGTAGCACAAGCTGACCTTTGTAACCAGTGACAGGAAAATGGTTATAGTACTGTATAGTATAGTACTGTACACACATCAAGCCTTTTTAACTTTGTAATGTACTTGCATATTTAACATACACTGTGTATAAATCTGCATTGCTCTGTATGCAGGAATTTAGAGGTCTAAGAAATTACCATAAAATTCAAATTATTCTGCAAGAGTTGTAAAAATGTAAAACTTAACTAAAATTATTATGAACTAATGTTTTAATATAAACTGGATGAGGGTACTAGGACTAGGTACCATGAGGCATGGTACTAGGACACCTTGGGGGATTTGCACCTAACATTTGGTCAATTGTGTGCAAATAAATAAAGTTATTCCACCCATTGTGTAAACTAAATTGAAATGGGAGAACATATAAACAATCTAACTTTCACATCTCAGCCATCTTCCTTACATCACAAGTTGACGTAATTGTCACACGAATCAACAGACACATTGATCCCCTCACCCCATCTTCCTCTCGACATTTACAAAATTAAAAAATACTGTACTTTGATTTATTTCATGCATTCGTATCATTTTATAAAAACAAATTACTGTACAGGTATTTGTTTTCATTGTCTCTTTTTGCTCACAGACAGTGTGGCAGTTTAAAAAAGCTGTAGTTAAAGGGTTAAGTGAATTTCCAAAATGGTGCCAAATTGACTTGAAATTTGAAGCGTCTTCTTGTCTAGTATTTCTAATGTGTAATGCCACAATCACAGATTTTGGTGCTATAATCACAAAGCGTACAATTCATACCAGTGTTGCTTGACTAGTACCTTTTCCCCACAACAAATATTGAAGTTTATGGGGGTAATAAATGCTCCCAATTCTATGGGAGCAATTCCTTTTTAAGCTTCCTTAAATTTTGTATTGATTTTATTGTTTAAGTTTTGACCCAACTTGAAGATCGAGGGTACAGTATAGCTGCAAAGTAAATTGATTTTGTTCTCTTAATTTATATTTCAGATCATCATTCCTATCAATATTCACTTGGTGGGTGATGTATGTGTATATATATATCATGCTCGAAAGATGATGGGAAAGGTAATAGGGGTGAAGATTGCTCAACTGCAGTTTCACACAGGCTTCATACCAGAAGAAGATACTTCATTAAAGTTTGGTCTGTAAGTATTATCATCATGTTCTTATGATTGTCAAGTCTTTAGGCACAATGTGGAAACATTATCCTGAATGTTTATGTTGTTATTGCTGGCCAGCTTTTCAATATTTTGTATTTGTTGTGCATAATGCAGTATTTAGATACTTGGGACCACATAGAAATCACAAAAAATGTGATGTATCTGAGAAAATAGTGAGGCCATGATGGGATCCAACCCACACTCCTGGACTTCCCGGGCACACGCACGACCGACTGAACCGTGATGAGGTGTCGCATCATATGACTTCTATATTTTCTCATACTTGGAAGTATTGATTTAGCTTTGACTTGTTTGAGTTAGACCAAATAATAAAATATTTTACCCCATGAGTCTCTGACAAACAGGAACTGAAGACCTCCATGCAGATGTCATCAGTCTGGCTGATGAACTTGTAACTCTGGTAGACGTCAGTATCTGCAGTACCTTTGTGGCTGTCATTCTTGGCTCAAAACTTTCCCAACTGGAAGATTACCTAGCATTATTTTTCTGTAATAGTAATTGCATAGATAGCTTACAGGTTTTTAACCCACTTCTAAATGTTATACTATCCAACTGAGTAAATTTATAATATCCATTAGCTTAAATAGCCTTTTAGAAGCTTATTCAGTGAGAATTATAAAACTTGGCATGAATAATTTATACGCATGATGCTTATCTTATCAGATAATTCCTCTTGAACAACTGCCGTAGTTATTGCCTCTTTGTAACTCCATGTTTTTATTCCAGTGCTGGTGGAATACTAATTGAAAAGCCTTAGTGAAATTATTTCTGTGCAGTATAAGCATACTTGGACCCAGATAAAAGCTGAATAAGTGTGTAGTGCTGTTAGTGATGGACAGAGTTGTGAAGTGCTGGAAAAGGTGTAGGATGTGGTTGCCTAATTGTACCAGTTGGCTGGTTGCTACAGTGCTTCCCTTTCCTCTCCATCAAGGCATAAACCACAGAGACAAGGAACCAACACAAAAGGTCCTGCAACTACAAACATTACATACACAAGGGTGTGAGAGTCCCTGAACCCAGCAAAAAGAGTACTGGAGACAACCAGAGCTTGTCATTGCTTGCCTGCATTGGTGCCTAACATACAGAACACAACTTTTCAAGGCTACAAGCAGCATAGTCGGGCTCTGAACTGGGTGAAAGATATATTTCAAGTCATCCAACTGAGATATGTGGTAAGCAAGCACATGGTAACTGGAATACTTAACCTAAACAGCCTACAAGTGGAAAAACCATGCTAGAGAAAACTTCAAATCCTATCTTCTCGCAATAAAAAAGGGTTTCAGACATTTCTGGAATAATAAAATAATCTTTTAACATCACATCCAAAGCATTTACCTGGCTAATTGTACAAGGTTTCAATGCACGCTTGATCTGGAACCAAGTGCAACATGCACTAATGTCACTTCCCTCAACAGGCTTCACTTTGGTGTACAAGTTCTGAAGCACTACCTAGGGCAGGGTAAGACTCGAGAGGCATCCACCCAAATGAGGAACCCCAAAACCCCAGAGATGGTAACTTGGGTAGTTAAGTCTTTCCTAACAGTGCCAGGGAAGAGAGCACTGAAACAAAGCTGGAGTGGACTAAGGCAGCGAGACACACTAGGTGACTAGCATACATCTGAATTGCATTCAAAGCATGACCTCCTTCACTCAGACCTAAGCCCTAAAGAAAGAAAGCTACTTATCTGAGAAGTAAAGTCTCTGCATGATTTTTGACAGATCGAGGAAGCGCCATTTAAGAGGGTGAAATGTTCCTCTTGAATATTCATATATGTAACATAATATTTCATTTGCTCCCTACTTACTAACCACTTCCACGCAGGCTTATTCCTTACCATACCCTGTGTTTTATTCACACACACCATGTCTGCCCAATTTTTACCAGCAGCTCGTTCTCTTGATTTATTACTTCATAATTTTTTTTCCCTCACCAGAAACATATAAACTCATGTAAATAAGGTCAATACACAGAAAATGTCATTGTTAATGTACTTGAAAAATTACTAATACATTGTATTTATAATGGAATGATCACTTTCATTTAAAATGTGACATTAGGTGAGAGGATGGGTTGCAGAACATCTCTCTGAAATTCACTTAAATGTACAGCACTCTCTTCACCAGTCTAACATCACCCAATTGTTCAACATGCCCAATTGTTCAACATGCCCAATTGTTCACTATGCCCAATTCATCTTTGTCTGTTCCTCTCATTCTTGGGTTTTATTGACTTTAAGTAGCCCCCTCCACATCTCTGCATAGGATTTTCATTCTGTTTTTCTTCTCTGTAGTCACAGTTTCTCCGATTTCCCACTTCTACAGCCCTAATCTTGATTTTTGACATTCATACCGTGCTATCATACAACTAAAGATAAATTTCTGCACTGTCACTCCTTCACACAGACGTCTGTTGCATCTGTTCGTCTTGTTTTTCCTAACAAGGGCTTTCATTGCAATAGCCACTTTCCTGACTGAACCCTGCTATCAATTTTGATTATATATATGCAGTACTGTACTCCAATAAGTACTTACACAACTCCTGTATTTATTACACACACAAATCACAATAGCGTGATGCATCAAATGAACAAATCCACATGGGCCGTGACGAGGGTTTCAACCTACGTCCGAGAGGATGCGTCTGAGATCTTCTCGGATGTAGGTTCGAACCATCGTCACGGCCCTTGTGGATTTGTTCCTGTTTTATTGTTTCAAGCTAATCAACCACTTCCAGCACTTCATGATTCACATATATTTCACACACAATTTCTCTCTCCACCACTATAAATGTAACTTTGAACACAATTGCTTTTAATAGTCTCCTGTTAGACACATCAGTCACACAGTTTCAGATGTAGATATGATAGAGCCCAATAGTCTCGGGCTCTGTACACCAGTTGATAGACAGCTGAGAGGCGGGACCAAAGAGCTGAAGCTCAACCCCCGCAAGCACAATTAGGTGAGTACACTTCACAATCTTATATTTCTAGTTTATAAGCTGCCACATTATAGTTATCTGGTCTACAGTGTTTTCTAACATGTACTCCACCTTCAGCACTGATCACTCTCGGAACATCATTTCCTAAACTCTTCTGATCATTATATTGCCATACATTTCACCCTCTACGCTTAGTAAACTAATGCCTCAATAAATCTTGCTATTTTCTCATTTATTCAGTACAGTTGTACAATCACTAATCTTTTCTGATTTTCTGGTATATTTCTGCAATTTTATGCCTTCTGGAAAAATCTTCACACCAACTCCATTCCTTTTTATTTACAAACATTTATAATTTCTAATAATTTTCGCTATATATCTCGGATTTCTCATTTCTGCTTTTTTCACTGATTGTCTCCAGTCTTCCATAGAAAACATCTTCTGTCATATAAAGTTGTTGCACTCCCACACCACTAAATGCTATCATATTCATGTTGGCATTTATTTTTTTCCATTACTATGTTTTCAATGTATTCTCTCTACCTTCTTCAATCTTCTCTTCATCATCAACATTCACATTTGCCTGTCCAGTAGTCTATCTTCCTGGTGCACTTCCTTGCTGCTTTCCAAAAGTGCTGCCTATTGCTTGAATAATTTTCTTGCATCACAATTTGTATTTTACTTTTCAGGCGTGAATTGGATGATGTACTGGAACCTGATCGTTACCCAGAACGTTTCACCGTGACTGTAAACATTTTTGTGTCTGATGTAGATCGCATGCCACCTCAACCTCCTCCCTGGGTAGCAAGACCATCATCTTCCTTGAGGCCTCATGTACCATATTCTACTGCTATTGAGATGGAGGAAACAAAGGACAAATTTGGTGTGTATTTTTCCATAAATATTCAGGTACTGTATTTTAATACATAAATGCTGAAAATTAAGAATTTTGAACAGGTATAATAATAATTAATAAGAAATGAAAAAAAAGAGCTGTTCTGTAACATACTAAAACTTTAATATTAAAATTAAATGCCAAGTTTTTGGGTAATCCTGTCAGTAGCTTCTCTAGCTGGCACACTGGTAGCTACAGGTCTGGGCAAAATATGCAGATATTTATGAGACTTATTTCTTAGCAGAAACAAGGGGGAGGCAAACCTCCCCCTTGCATTCTCAAAGAGACAGGCAGCTCATGGAAGTCAATGATGAGTCTCACTGAGGCCTACTGCAATAAAAAACACAACTCTTAAACTCCCTCTGAGAATGATTTAGAAAAGATCCCAACAAACCAAATAAAAAATCTTATAACTAGTAAGAAGCAATCAAAGCACCTTCCTGCATCACCACTAGGTGGCAGCCAGCTAACAATCACCTAGCCCAGAGCCCAGCTATTACTCTCCACTTGGTGATGATCGTGGCAATGTGTTACGGGTGTTTTTGAGGACCAAACTACTTATACTTAACAGATGAGTCATAGGTCTATCTAGACCAATTGGTTTGCACAGGGGATTTGTGTGCTTTAACATATTTTGAGCATCTAGAACCATTACCATTCTCTTGTTATACTAGTCACCTCAGCTCTGGTTCCGGGGTTATTTTGCCTGGCATTGTGATGAATGATTGTTCTACCCTAGAGCTATTTTCTCTGAGGAGTTGTGTTTTTTCTTGGGGTGGACTCCTTTTGAGTTTGCTTTAAGCAAGGTAGTTCTTGGGACTTCATTGTCAAACAAGACGTGCTTCACAGGAGTGGTTTACTCCTGTGGAGTGCTTGATATCCTTTGATGGAACAATGGTACAACATTTTAAATCAATTTTTGCATTCATGGTGTACTGTATTGTAAATTGAAATATTCATGACATTTTAATTTAGCAGCAAGTGCACATGGTTCACCTGCATCTCAGAGACGAGATTCCCCACCCAAATTAGGGACAGGCAACATGCAGGCGTGTAAATCGGACTTCATGGCTACAATCAGTGGGAGTGGAAAGCCAGAACCAACTCAGGTACATTTTAATCATTGGAAATGGTCACACATATGTGACATGTGACATATTCAGTTTGCTTGTGTTCTAACATAACTATAATTTAATGCAATTTTGTATTCAGTGTCGATATTTAATGGTACTGTAGTTTAATTAAAGGCTTATTAAAATGGTAAGGAAATTTCTTAATTTCAGGGAGGCGAAGACGTTGAGGATCTCATATCAGATGAAGAAGACACTCCAATGTGTCAGCAGGAAGATGTCCCGGTGTCCGATATTAGTTCTAAAGAAGCTGACTTACTGAATTGGGGAATTTCAGCCCAAAGTGCAACAGGAATTAATCAAGTCGCTAATGATATGGACTTGCTTGATATTGCTGGTTCTGATGGCATGAAGAGAGACCCTAGTAACTTTGACCTCCTCAGTGGGATTGGTGGTGGTGCCAGTGAACCAAGTGTCAGTTCTTCCATTAATTCTCGGGAACCTGCAAATGCTCAGGAAAATTTGTTTGATCCCTTTGGAACGTCAGTTGCTTCACAACATGCAGGTGGTGGAAAAGCGCCTTCTGAAGATATTTTTGGGCAGTTTTCAATACCTCAAACTCAACAACAAAATAATCTTCTGGGGAATCTTGGAGGACCAGTAAGTTATTTATAATGTTACTTGAAACTGTTTTATTTGTAATAAACAATATAAAATGTTGTCAAGAAATATTGTGATGTATATTTGATTATAATTACAGAATTTAATATTTAATTCATATACTGTGTTTACTCGCAAAATAGGTTTAGTATTGTATGGCAATAATGTTATAAGTATTAATTGTTGGATTATTCAACAACTTTGCCATTCACATTATCACTGCCACCATCACTGCATTATTACCACTGCCACCATCACCACATTACCACTGCTACCGTCACCGCATTACCACTGCTACCGTCACCGCATTACCACTGCTACCGTCACCGCATTACCACTACCACCATCACCGCATTACCAATGCCACCACCATTGCATTACCACTGCTACCGTCACCGCATTACCACTGCCACCATCACCGCATTACCACTGCCACCATCACCGCATTACCACTGCCACCATCACCGCATTACCACTGCCACCATCACCGCATTACCACTGCTGTGAGGTAGTTCAGATTTAAGATTATTCATATGTGGCACTGATTGGGTCCCTTGATTTTATAACTGATCATTTATATATTTCAAATTGCAGCTTGTTTTGTACAACTTGTATAGTAGGTTTTGTAGATGGCCAGATTCTGGTCCTGGCTCCTTGTAGGTTTTCATCAAGACAAATGGGTGGGGGGGGATTTTTGACAAGCCGCTGGATTCCTGTCCTCGTCAAGGCCACTAGGGATAATGGCCCTCGGGTAAATCAGGTTAATAGTGGTCCAATTTAATCTTGTGCTCTATTATATCTCACTTGAACAATAATTTATTTATTCTCTGACAGGCCATGGGTGGTCTTAGTCCAATGGCATCTTCAGGCAGTCCCATGATGGGTCCACGGCTCTTGGGAGGAGCAACTAGCCCAAGTAATACAGTTGGTGGTGGGTTTGTACGTCCTCCAGCACAACAGCAGCCAAACAAACCTTCCGATCCATTTGCTGATCTCGGTAAATGCAGTAATGCAGAATTAAAGTGTATAAAATTTATATTAGGTTTTGCATTTTGATGCTTAAACCATTTCACCATAAGTATTCTCTCTATTTCATCAACATTTATTATAATTTGTTTATGCTCCAATTACTAATACTTTTTAAATTTAATGTTTTGCATTTCTTACCATTGTGTGTAGAGTGTTTCATATTGAATATTGATTGCATTTTGTTTCATTGAAGTTGTGTAGTGAGAAATGATAGGGTTCTGTAGCTTCATAATTATAATTACTATTGTACCAAAGAGATGCTACCACCAGGAGTGTGTGGTGCTTCTTCCTTGGACCTTATGGACGATTTTGAGTCATCATTTTTCTCTTTGGGGTTCAGTTTTGTGACATCTTCCCACTTCCCTTGCTAGATTGGTTTACCGATGTGTGAGGTGTTGGATGGGAGTTTGTTTCCAGCTCTCTTCTTATTGACTGATGGATGTGGTTCCTTTGCCTTTATTTGGTCCTTATCACAGGTAAAGAAGTTATGCTAGTTTGTATGTCACTTAGATCTATCCCTCTCCGGCAGGGCTCTGTGAATCTGGCTTCACTTGAATTATGTGTTGGTGGTTCACTGCCTCAACAGATTGGCCTCCAGTCACTTAATTTTTCTGGGTGATGGATGCTTTGAATTGCTTCTTTCCTGGAGTCTAAGATTTACCTGGTTGATACCTGGTTGATGGGGTTCTGGGAGTTGTTCTACTCCCCAAGCCCAGCCCGAGGCCAGGCTTGACTTGTGAGAATTTGGTCCACCAGGCTGTTGCTTAGAGCGGCCCGCAGGCCCACATACCCACATACCCACCATAGCCCGGTTAGCCCTCAATGTGGTTCTCATTAGTGAAGTGTTCAATATACTTGTGGATGATCTCTTTGGGTTCCCTCTAATTTTGATAGCATTGGAGTTGGACTGACTCTCTTCATTAGATTAGTTTCCCCTATCATCTGCAGGCTCTTCTGACCAGTCTGCATATCTGGTAAGTGTACCCTTTACTTATTTTATCAACTGGGTACTCTTATCTTTGAGAGCAACTGAATGGTCTATCACAGAAATAAGGCTTAGAATATAATGAAAGTCTTCGTCCTGAGCAAGGACTTCAATTTCTTTTAATTCCTCCCATTTTTGTCTTGAAATATTATGCTCTCTTGGGCTCTAGTGTAAATGAAAGTAAGGTGGGCAATTCTTTCTCTACTCTCTAGACAGTGTAGGTGCTTATATCCGTTGGCAGTCTAAAGTAGTGGCCAGGCAGCCAACTGGCAGTGAGCAGAGAAATATTTTACAATGTGTTTGTGAGTCATTTGAAAAGATCCCCACTATGTTGGAAAGTGGTAGTCATCCTTTCCTGGCTGTTATATGGTCTTGTCCCTGTGAGAGCTGTGTATTGCCTACTTGAGCAACCACTTGGCATTCTCGTGGAGGTTTTTATGAATTATCCTTCATTGTTTTTGTGCCGAACTAATTCTGAACTTTTAAGTAGCTCGTTGGAGCTTCATTGCCATCTATTGACAGCAAAGGTAACACTTCATAATTTGACAAATGCTGCTTGCCAAGTGGTAAAATGTAATATTAACAACCCCACAGTCTAAGGATTAGTATATTGTGTTTTATTAAAATAATTTCCTTAAAGGGAAATTATTCTTTTTCAACAGGTAATTTGACAGGTATAAGTGGATGGGGTGGATCTAAACCTTCAACACCAAAGGGTGGAACACCTGCAGGGGGAACGCCCTTGGGTGGTAGCACTCCTGTTACTGGGTCTCCACAGCACCGTCCACAGGTGGCTGGAGCATGGCAGGGACAGACACCAGGTGACCATTTAACTTCTTCATAAAACAATTTGTATAAATTTTGTCTCTATTTATACCTATGGAAAACATGTGCAGTTATTAAGGTACCAATGTGTAGTAGTTAGTCAAAAAATCATAAATTCATTTTAATCAACATCAAACATTCATATTATAGTTTCAATGAAGAGAATTTCAAAATCTTAACAGTAACTCAAAGTTTTCAAAATGCAAGAAATTGGATAGATAAAGAGGAAAATTTCTAACAATTTTCAACCAGATATAGGAAATAAATAGCTTGCCATTTTCTATATATTTTAAGCTGAAGTCTGTGTTCTGCTATAGGTGTGATTGGAGCACAATTGGGTGGTTGGCAGCCGACAGGTAGACCTCAGCAGCCACCACAGCAACAACCTTCTCAGCCACAACCACCACAGCCACCACCAACTCAACCACAGCAACCACCAATAGCTGGGAAAACACCAACAGGTACTCCACATCATCAGATGAAATCTCCATGTCAGCCCAATTATGGACGTGTTAATTTTGATGTTTCTGGTAAGTTTTGGGTAATATATTCTTGACTAAATTCTCATCCTGTGCTGTGTGTGTGTGTGCAGATGTCACAGTTCGTAGACATCAGGCTTGGCCAAATTCAATGATTTTGCCACAAAAAAATATTTCCATTGATATACAGTACCAGTGCTGTATTATTCAAACTTTATAGGACAAAACTGACTGTGTATTCACCAAGTTGTGCTTGTGGGGGTTGAGATTTGGCTCTTTGACCCTGCCTTTCAACTGTCAATCAACTATGTGTAATTACCTAAGTGTAGTTACAGGATGAGAGCTATAATCGTGGTGTCTCGTCTTCCCAATACTCTGTTGTATAACGCCTTAAAACTATTGATGGTTTTGGCCTCCACCACCTTCTCACTTAGCTTGTTCCAACCGTCTACATTCTGTTTGCAAAAGAAAATTGTCTAATATTTTTTGGCGCCTCTATTTCCTTAGTTTGAATCTGTGTACTGTTGTTCGTAAAGTTGCTGGTTGCAGGAATTCCTCTGTCAGTTTGGTCTATTCCTGTTAGTATTTTGTAAGTGGTATCATATCATCTTTTTTTCTTACCCCCTTTCTCACTCTCTGGATTTTATCTTTTACATGCAGTTTGCTTTTAATGGATTTATAGAAAAGGCTTGGATCTGTTTTCCATTTGTCTGCTATACGTTTCTCAAAGTTCTTTTCTGCCTCTTGTTCCTTTCTGCCTCGTGTTCCTTTCTGCCTCTTTTCTCACTGCTGTATAATTGTTTCTTGTTTGTTTGTAATTCTGGTATGTTTGTGGGTTAGGCCTCGACCGATATTGAATCCATTTTCTTGTTTTTTTTCCTCTCTGGCCCTCTCACAATTTCTGTTGCACTAATCCTGTTTTCTGGTCCTGCATCTCTGTTTTGGCTTACCTCGACAACTGGTTGGAGTGGACTCGCTTCATTCCTCTTTCCACGGAGTAGACGGTTGACGCCTCCTCCTTCCTTTGGCTTTGACGAACGTATGGGCACCTGGAGGTGGACCTCTTCGCGTCGGTGGTCTCGTCGTCTCTCATTGTATGTTGCGCAGTTCCCCGACTGCAAGGCCATCACGGTGGATGCTTTTTGGCAGGACTGGTGGAGGTAGAGGTTCCTGTACCTCTTTTTTTCCAGTCCAGCTGTTGCTCCAAGTCCTAGCTCGCTTAGAATCCAATCAGGGGAGGAGGATTCTTCTGGCTCCATGGTGGCCAGCCCAGCCTTGGTTCCAGGTGCTGCTTTCTCGGTGTCCAAACCCCCGCATTTTTCTACGGCCCAGCAGATCGGGCCAATGAGGTACCTCTTTGGTTCCCCTTACTGCTCCACACTACGGGTCTGGTCTTTCTGATGGTGTATCGCCATTTATATGGTGATCAAGTGGCTTCTTTGATGGTGTCCCACCTGTGGTCTTCTTCACAGCGACAGTATGAAGTTTCTTGGCAGTCATTCCGTCATTTTCTTTCTATTCGTAGGTTTTATCTTCAATCTATGCCTTGTACTGTTGCTTTTTATCACACGGCATTGGCAGAGTCGCTTCAGCTTGCTGAACATCCTCCAGCAAGGGTGGATGTTGTTTTCGCTCCATTCCACAAGCTTTCTCGTGCATTTTTACACCTCTGGTCTGCTCATGTGCCTCCTAAGCCTTCTTAAGTCTTTATAGTATGTTCTTTCTTTTCTGTCTTCTCGTTTCTCGTTTTGTTGTGGCCCCTTCAGTTAGGGAGTGCTTTTGGAAGGCCTTGTTTTTGTTGGCCTTGGCCTCTGGGGTTTGGGTTGGGGAGTTTCATGCTGTCCTTTGGTCCCGGGGGTACTGTTCGTTTGGTCCAGGTGGTCGTTTTGTTCATTTGAAGCCTTCTTCTTTTCTGGCAAAGAATGAGATGGCTGGCTTCCAGAGGGGTCCTTTGGTTGTTGATGCCTGGTTGGTTAGGCCGGGGGGTGCATCATGTGTTGTGTCCAGTGGCAGCTTTACGCCGCTACCTGCGGGCCATTGGTTCTGTGATGGTGGACGCGCTTTGGGTGGATCCAGTTTTCCCTGGTTCCCTGTTCCAGGGCTCATGTGTCTCAGATTGTCTACGGTGTCATCAAGGGGTTTTGGAGGTCGAACAGGGTCCTGGCCGCTGGGTATCTAGTGAATGTTCCTGTTCCTTCTTGGAAATGTGTGGCTTTGGGGGTGACTGTTGCGGCTGTCTGTCTCTTCTTTGTCTTGAGACCTACGGTGCTGCTGCCTCCCGGGTAAGTCCCTCCTTTTACTTATCTTTGGGTAGTTAGCTTCAGGGAGCCCTAGTGTTGAATGTAATGAATTGCCATTTTTCTGGGTGAGCCCCGGAGCCTCCCTGACACGCTCCCACCCTCCAGTCGATGGTTTTTCATCATTCAAAAACTGGAATGGTGGGCTGCCAGCTCCCCCTCTTCCCCCCCCCCCCTTAGGTAATGCTAACAAGCAAAAGTGCTAGTTGCATGAAGGGTTGCTTGTTTGGTTTCTTTCTAGGGGAGTGATTTTGATCTGTTGGGAGGTGGATTGCATAGGTTAACCAAACGGTGGTCTATTTTGATTCACTTACCTCTCTGGGTGCCTTCCCCGGTCGATGGCATTCTATGACATACTTTAAATGTAAAGTGCTCATAGGCCATTGCTCCCTGTGCCTCTCTGAGGGGGGCACAGGTTCTGGCTTGTGGTTCCTGGTAGCCAGGAACTCCTGTGACTGATGACCCCAAACTAATATAGCACATATCAGTCTGGATAGCTTCAGGGAGCCTCCAGGGCTTACCCAGAAAATGGCGTTTCATTACATTCAATGCTGTTTTTTTTTTCTTTAACATACTTTCATTTGATGTTAATATGTTAATAAAAAGCTATCCAGATTTTCACTTTAAAATTAAATTTTGTACATTGCAGGTAAAAATATAGGGGGTACTCCAAAGGGTAGGGTTGGAGAAGATGCTTTTGGAGACCTGCTTGGTTCTCAAGGGTTCAGCTTCAGTAGTGGGAAAGACTCTGGTCCTCGCACCATGGCCGAGATGAAGAAGGTAGAATTGGCCAAAAGTATGGATCCAGAGAAGCTTAAGGTATGTTAATTTAATAATTGTATAGTGATGATCTTCAAGTAGTTCTTTTAGAAACTATATGCTAGTTCTTGGTAACTGTTATTTCTCAATTTTTCAACATGCAAATAACACTTAAAATGAGGCTTTGACTCAATTTTAAAAGCACTTTTCTGAGTAGAATCATTCAGTTACTCTCTGCGGTAAGATGAACTGTGTCATATGACTAGAATCAGGCACAGTCAGGCACAATGACATACTAGCAGTGGCACTACAGGGAACTTTACAAATTTTCCTTCAACCTCATTAATAAAGACTAGGTTTATGGGACTGTTAGGATAACCTTGCTTCTGGCTTCTCAGCATTACACACGGTTTAGTGTAAATCATCAGGTTTAGGTTAATGGCAGAGACTGTATTTAGGCTATAGAATTATGTTGTAGCTTACCCATTTTTACTGATGGCTGGCTTTACCCAGTTCTTCAGCATGCGGTAAGATATTTGTTTTACCACATGTGCTTATAATACAGGTAATGGAATGGACTGAGGGCAAAAAGAAGAATATTCGTGCACTGTTATGTTCCCTTCATTCAATAATCTGGGAAGGCTGCAAGTGGAATGAGTGTGGTATGCATCAGTTGGTGCAACAAAATGAGGTTAAAAAAATGTACCGCAAGGCGTGTCTAGCAGTCCATCCAGACAAGGTAAGAAGCTTTAATTTGGTATAATATTTGTAAATTATTGTCTTAGTTAACCTAATAATTAATATTCTGACAAGAAATACATCATTGTACATTAATAACACCAGAACAATGGAAAAAAAATGCAATTATCATGTGCTATGACTTGTGTAGGAAAATAATTCAAGGGAAACTGAATGTACCTGAAGTTTGACTTGCGCTGTGCAACTCTATGGAGCATAAAGTCACATACATTATAATATTTTGTTTATTTAGTGCACTGTAATAAAAATGCAATGCATTTTAAAATTTCAGTAATTTCTATGGTACTGTATTTGTATACAGTTTGAATTTTTTCACATACATTCCTGTCAATTGTGTCGGTTAGTCACTAGTTTGTATGTAGCGATCATATTTTTTATTTATTTATATATACAAGACTCCTTACATTCTTGTAAAACCACTATGCACATAGCATTTTGGGCAGGTCCTTGATTTTGATTTTCCCTAGAATATGACCCGCCAAATCGTTTAACCCTTAAACAGCGCAATACATACATATACGATTTGACATAAAATAATTTAACATAAGTTTTTAAAACTTGCACAAACACTTTCCTTTTTTTTTTTTTTTTTTTTTTTTTTGCATAATCAACTAGGCAGATGCTCCAAATTTGTCTAAATGATCACAGCATAACTTGAAAAATATGAATCAAAATTAATTTTAAAATTGAATATTGAAAACTTCAGATTTTCAATTCCCCGTCATTTTTTTTTTGCATAATCAACTAGGCAGATGCTCCAAATTTGTCTAAATGATCACAGCATAACTTGAAAAATATGAATCAAAATTAATTTTAAAATTGAATATTGAAAACTTCAGATTTTCATTTCAGATTAAAAAATATGAACTATCACCAATTGTTCATTTAATGTTGTTATTCTCTCAGAATAGCATTTGATCTTCATTTTCATCAAATTAGAATATAGGTTTTCAGTATAGTTTACTGTAAAAAAAAAACCGTCGATAAGGCATTTAAAATATGCGGCAAATTTAGACCAAAAAAAATTATATCTCCAAATGTATAAAGTTTATGAAAAACCGTTCTGAAGGGATTGTAGAACAGACAACTGAGCACACAATATGTCAAAATGGTGAGCATCGGTCAAAAACTGGATTTTTAGAAGTCATTCAAAGTTGAAACTCTAGTTTCAGAGATAATTGAAGTTGAAGTTATCAACAGTGAATAAAGGTAGTTTTAATTCATTAATTTAATTGTATGTTTAAATAAACATTGTTTGGCATTCGTCCAATATGTGAAAGTTGAAGGTCAATGTGTGTTGAAAGGAAAGTCAAGAAAAAATAACCCCAAAAAACACAAAATGTAGTGATAATAAGGCCTCCACCACCACCTCACTTAACTTATTCCAACCCTCTACCACGCTGCAAAAGAAAATTTTCTAATATTTTGGCACTTTTGTTTCCTTAGCTTCAATCTGTGTCGTCTTGTTCTTGAAATTGCTGGTTTCAGGAATTCCTCTTTGTCAATTTGGTCGATTCCTGTTATTTTGTAAGTGATGATCATGTTACCTCTTTTTCTTCTATCTTCTAGTTTTGGCATGTTTAACGCCACTTCCTTTCCTCATAACACTTGTTTTTCAGTTTGGGAAGCCATTTTGTAGCATGCCTTTGCACCTTTTCCAGTTTATTGGTCAAAGTATTTATTGTTTTCCAGAGTGTTCGGGTTGTCTGGACCAGTTCAGTATTTAAAAATGATTGTTAATGGGAAGTTTCATTAATAAGAGATGTCATTAATGTGAGGTCTTGCTGAATATTATGTTACTTTAGCACTATGTAGTATATTATATTATATTACATTTCATTATGCTGATCGTATGTATAATAGATATTGTTTCTTTCCAGTGCACAGGAACGGAACATGAATCTCTTGCAAAACTCATATTTATGGAATTAAATGACGCTTATTCTGAATTTGAAAATGATCCTAGCCAGCAGCAGATTTTTAAATAAGAACTGGTAAGTTTATTTGTATAACTGAACAAAGATGCATTATTTCCATGGAATCTTCCCTTCATAATTGTCAAAGGGGAAATCATTGTTTATTATTTATAGGCATTCACTGTACATTCACTTTAGTAAATGTATTCTCCTTTCTTTTTTCTTAAGGATGTTTTTCACAAGTTATCTACATTAAAGGTTCATCAGATCAATTAGAAAATGCAGACTCAGATTTTTTCATTTTAAAAAGTGTTTATGTCAGGATTTTGACTTTTGCTAGTTGTTAGGTTGTTATGAACATATTTTCTGAAGTAACTGCTAAATTTCTCTCTCCTGTTTGCTTTTTCCCCTTCAGCCAAAATTTGTTATTGTTAGTTCAGTGTATTAAGTAACAGTTTTAGTTAACCCTGAGCATTGTTATGACACTACAAGTGTAAACTTTTCTGAATCTTAGTAGGTGCTGAAAGTATGTTATATGGTTGTAAAGAAAGCTAATATTAACTAGTCCTGTAGTTCTGTTGATAGTTTGTATAAAATAAGGGGCTCTGATTTTTTATATGAATTTGCGGATGGTGGCTTGGAAAATCATTTCAGGAGGTTGATAACATGTTCTCATATTTCTCCTATAACGTGTTCTCATATTTGTCCTATAACGTGTTCTCATATTTCTCATGAAACATATTCTCATTTTAGTTAAGTCTTGTTTTATGTCATTGATACCATTCATCTCAGTAGCAGATATGTTATGCTAAACTTGGCTTCATTAACCCATGAAGTGTGTGTGTTGTTGTCTGGAACATTAAACATATAGCTTCAGTATGTATTATGTTACCAGTATATCTCATTTCTGTGATATCTAACTTTATTTTGACATTTTTATGAAGCTTTACTTATAAAAAAGTTTTATCAGAATTTAAATTGCTTGGAGCATGGTAATGTAGAATTATTAATTTTAAACATGCAGTGATTTTAAATGCTGTCACTTTAATATTTTGTTAAAATTTATTTTGTAAACTCCTAGAGTGAACACTGCAATATAATACAAACAAAATAATATTTATGGAAAACATGTAATTTCCATACACACTGGGCAAGCTGTGAAGGATAGTTTGTTTGCTGTGCAGCTCCAGAAATTTAGAAAATAGCTGGTTTCATTTCCTATGTTGTAGCAAAATATATTTCTCTTAATTTCTTAAGGAAACGCTGCTACTATCTTCAAATACCAGTATTAAAATATAAATTTGTTTAAATTAAGCCCTAGTTATTTTTAATTGTCACATTTTGATTTGTTGACAGCTTTGCTTATCAAGAGTTCTTACCAGAGAACCATGATGCTTTGTGCACTCTCTGCTGCTTTGTTCTTACCGCAGTCATAGAGGTAAATAAAATAGTTCGTGCACAATAACCCTTCAGTACTATCGTCTTCGGGCACCTTCTAACAAATGTATTAATTCAGTCTATCTTGTTGTTCTAAATAGTCATCTGGGTAGTGCATTAATTTGATAATCTCTTCTCTGTCTGTCTTGTATAAATTAACTGTTTATAACTGGTAGAGGAGTGAAATAGATGTGTTAAACTCCAAACCCAAATGTGACTTAGAATTGAAGCCAAATCTCATCACAGGTGCCAGTGTACCTTGACCAAGGTGAGTGAATCATATGACAGGCATATATGACTAGAGCTTGCGATTTGTCTTTTATCATAAACCCCATTCTTCTTTTTTTTTTTCTCGTGCTTTCCGCAGGGCTAGACTTGTTTCTTATTCAGGATAGACATGTGAATATTCTCCAGGTGTACAGTTTCCTTTATGGCTATTTACAGTGTGTTATTGGTGGTTATTTTCCATGTTAAGATGGAATGCATTACTATCTCCATTACAATCATTCTTAGAAGGAATATTCCTTTACTATAATAGTCAGGTGCTACATTTTGATCATTTATCTAAATTTAACTGGAATATCATTGTAGTTGGTAGTGACACTTCAGTTCATTGATAAAATTCATAAATTAAATACCATATCATCAAAAGTCATTTTCAGAATATCAAACTTTCTGGTTGGCCACACTCAGTAACTTCCTGAGCTAGGTACTGGTCTAGCCAAGCCTTAGGAAGATGATCAGGGCCTCCAAGACCCATTCTTGCTTTCCAGGAACCAGGACCTGAGTCTGGCTCTAGCTACAAGGCAAGACAAGCATTTGGTTGAGCCCTCTGACAGGGCCCATCCTCAATTTTATTTTGGGGCCATTTCTTTGTTGTTCTTTCTTTTCTCTTTCATGACTTCTGTCTTATGTCATCCACATTGTGCATGCCGTAGCTTCATATTTCAATGACTGTGGACCAAAATTTCCTTCCTTGGTAGTTGGTTTGAATTTTACCTGCCACACAAGTACCACACCTGCACCACACTATTTGCTATTTGTGCCTGAAGGATTGAGCTGTTAGCTCATGGACCCCACCATTTTAACCATCGGTTGTTTAATGTACAGACTCCCAAACACTTTTTTGTATCATATCTATTACATATATTTCTCCCTCTCACACACACATTCATCCCCAGGATGTAGCCCATAGCAGCTGTCTAACTACAAAGTTATTTACTGCTAGGTAAACAGAAGCATCAGGTAAAAGAAACTCTGCCTATTTGTTTCTGCCTCAACCAGGAGTTGAACCCAGGCCCTTAGGACCACAACTCCAGAGCACTGTCCGCTCGGCTGTGAGGATCTGCATAATGGATTGAGTGACTGGTTTCCCTCATCCAAGCATTGTTTTTGCATTCTTGGGTGGGCTGTTGTAGATTCCCTGTATGTTCTTTTCTATACAGTTTCACTGCAGTGTCCACTGGCTTTCCACCTGTTGTTGCAGGGCTGTCCTCTTCTCATCCTTATAGGCTAATGTTGGCCTGTGCATTTTGGGGTAATGTCGGTCTGTGCTAATATGGCTCCTCTGATTGGCCTATGCCTTTAGGGGTTTTGTGGTTAAAATGAATTCTACTTTTTGGGCTTGAGACTTGTTCTGGATTTTCCATCTGGGTGTTGACCTTTAGCTCTGCCTGGGGTATTCTTTGGCCTTTCTACACTTACATTGTGCTTCTGCATTTTACATGCAGTAGGTGCCCTTCTTTCCCAGATTCTCTTCTTCTGTCACCTTCCAGGGGTAAGCCCTGGCCATATTTTTCTGTTTGTGATTGTTCTTTTTCAGAAATGCAGGGCGACTCTGCTGTGGTGCTGTTGTGAATTGGCTCGGAAAGCCACTATTGGTGCCTATCCAAAAATTGTGTCAAATGTAATGAAATACCTTTCTTTGCTGTGGTGTGTAGGGGTTTGGTTTAGGCAGCTCATGAGTGTGTGTTCTGACTGAGACCTAGGGTGATCTGGGTATTTTTCATTTTTCATTTGAGGGTACGTAATTTTCTTAAAGTGGTGGCTTATTTTGTTGTGTTTTTATTTATGGTGTGTTTTTCTAGGTTTTGCTTTGATCTGATCCCAAAACTCCCCTCATTTCATTGAATCACATTCTGGTCCTGGCTCCCAGTTGGCAAGGGCTTGGGTTCTGAGAGCCACACCGGAAAAGGACATTTCAGGCATTGAATGGTTGATTTTTCAGCATATGTTGTCAATAGATTTTTCATTAACTTGAGCACCGTTAACATGACATCATTTGAATTATCAAAATACTAAGTCCCATCAGTCTACTTCGCTCCATCACATAATTGTTGCATTTATAAATGGGCTTAGCATTTTATTTAAATTTCTTTATTTCTTTATTAAAGATTAAAGCTATTTGGGAACTATTGTTTTCAAATTTACTCTCCTGTTGTATCTGTACAAATAATTTTGAAGTATTATTCAAAGTGGTGAGAAGGAATGGTGCCCAACCACTTGGACTGGATGGTAGTGTGAAGGTAGAGCTTCAGTGAGGTCGATGTTCAATCCCTGACCACGCAAGTGGCTGGGCACCATTCCTTCCATCCATCCATATCCTCATTCTCCTTCCAAGTGCTATATAGTCTTAATGGCTTAGTGCCTTCTCCCAATAAATGACCTTATCTCTGTATTTCACGAGTTTTTCTCTTAGTAGCATTTCCTTACTAACATATTCTGGTAGATCTACTTTTTTTTTTTTAGTAAACTTATTTAACTGTTTACATATTTTGTTATGATCAATTGTAATTCATGGTTCTTTGTAAATAATACCCTATCATAACATAGGCTCATGTGCTGATGATGCAATATGCATGATGTTATCTCTAAAAGTTAATTTTGCCTCATAGTATGATGCAGACTTATAATTGTGTGTGACAAGTGCATGCAGCTTAGCAAGCAAAATCTTCTTTCATGTTTGTGGTGATTTCTTTGGTATTCTGGTGACATGGTGCTGCAACTTGTAGTGGATTTTGTATATAATTCACATAATGGAGCAACAGAATGTAGGTAGTTGCTAAGGCATTGATGACGAAAGTACATTCTGCTTCATGTTGTAGATATTCATGAGAAATTTAATCTTTATATTTTTACGAATCAATTTAGCAATAATTTGTTAATATTTATGTGTGAAATATAATAGCATTCAAAATAAACTGTTGTACTACGTACCATAAAATATTTATAAAACTAACTTGCTGATCTATGGGCAAAATTATGATTAATACCGTACAAGTGGCTCTCATACAATCGAGAAGGTCCTAGATGCAAAAATTACTGACCTAAGGAGGATGCAGGACAGGTTTGACAAAACTGATGTTCATGATGAACTTTACTGCCTCACTAAAATGCCTCTTTATCACCTTAAAATGTCACCTTAGCTGACTTTCAGAGGGGTTCTCCAGCCCACAACAATGGAAATTTAGGCATGTATGAAACCCTTTTAAACTGTGCACAACAACCAGGGTTGTTTTCATTGATGTGCTCACCACAACTGAAGTTGTTTTTGGCCTGTCATAAAATTTAAAACTCCCACGCACACAAGGGGCTCACATTTGTTTCCTCAAGTCTTTAGTAACTGCTCCATCTTAAAAAAAAAAAAAAAAAAAAATCCCGAGTCCCTTACTTTCCTTGTAGGGCCTTGGTAAACAGACGAGGACCGTGTCTGACACATCACCATCCAGTGAGTGTGTGAACGTGCAGGGCAGCCATACAAGGAGCCATTGAACTTTTAACTCCAGCAAATGAGTGATTACTATGTATATATTTACAGGCAAAGTGTGTGCTATGTGTAATAATATTTAGGCTTATTTAGGCTTATATAAGTATGAATAAATTCAAGATGTGTATATTTATACATATATATCTGTACATACTGTATTTATATTTTCAAAGTTGACATAATGAGCACCACCTTTGACACATCAATACAACTTGTTAACACAAACAAATAAAAAATAAAGTGAGAAAAAATTTAAATAGATCGACACAGATATTCCCATTCAGCACCTCACTTAATTTCTACCTAAAATTGCAAATTCTCCGGGCCTCTACAGCTAAACCACAAGAGGTAGAGACTTTTTTACTTGGATTTTTGTGCTTCCTGGAAAGTAATTAACAAAGTCAAAAGAAACAAAAAATTTGGAATTTTTTTTTTTTTTTGTGCACCATAGAGTTGGTACATTTATCAGGTGTATGGTGCAGTGGTTAAAGTCCATGCTAGAAAAGTCCTCAAAGTCCTGGGGGGAATGACTCGGGAACAAGCAACCCTTCCTGTCAGATTTGGGTGCCTTGGTGTCTGCATGGCCTTCCTTATTGCTCTACGAGCCTTCCTTTCCTCCTATGCATTGAACGTCCAAATCTTACCAGAACCTCTGGATGATTCGGCATGGAAATTAGATCCTGCATTCATTGAATGTTCAACTCAGTGTGATGCACTTGCTACCTCAGCAACCAAACCTGGCACAGGAAAAAACACAAACATTCCAGCTGGGACATCCCAGTAGTAGAGAAAACAGCTGATGCCATGCTCCATGCTACAGCAGCAGGAGGAGGTTCGAGAGCAGTGGTGCCTTCCATGCAGGGGACGTTCTTTTGACAGTACTGTAAAATAACAACGTACTGGAGTGAACGATATGGAAGAAAATGCAGGATAGAACCAGTGAAGAGCAGGAGTGCCATAGGCACAATCAGAGAACACTGTATAAACATCAGAGGTCCACGGTTGCTCAACACCCATCCTGCGAGCATTAGAAATATTGCTGGAACAGCCGTGGACATCTTCAAGAGAAAACTAGATCATTTTCTCCATGGAGTGCCGAACCAACCGGGCTGTGTTGGATGTGTGTGCCTGCGGGCCGTTCCAAGCAACAGCCTAGTGGACCAAACACTCATGAGTCAAGCCTGGCCTCGGGCCGGGCTTGGGGAGTAGAAAAACTCCCAGAACCCCATCAAACAGGTATCAAGCTTTAATGGAAGATACGTCCTGCTTCAATTTTGACCATTCTGGCTTTTTACTTTTATTATAACTTTTTATATCTAGAAACACTTTTTAGTATTAAAGATCCAATAAAAATAATTAAACGAGAAAATACTCCCCTCCCCTTCCCCCTGAAGCAACAATAACTTATGATGATTATGGTTATTGGTTGTATCATTGTGTGTCCTATGAACACACACACACATATCTTGATTGTGTTACTTTGACCATAATGAGAAAGGTCTCCACCTAGGATGCTTAGTTTATAGGACTTCCTTGTGAGCAATTCCTCAGGCACTTCCTGAGCAATGGCCTGGGTCCACCAAGGATGCTGTTGCTGCCAGATTATCATTAACGTGGTGAAGTCATGCTCGTTTGCTAGTTTCCTCATTTTCATTTGGAGAGTTCTGTGCACTAGTTCGGCTTTCAGTAGCAATATATTAACCAGAATAGGGGTTTGTTTTGGGATGTTTACTTTTCTGGGTGCCTGACTCGGTTGATGGCAGACATAGAATGCTTCCAACCACACGGGGGTTTCTATAGGCCATTGCTCCTCGCGCCTCTCCGAGGGGGCCAGATTCTGGCTCATGGTCCCCGGTAGGCCTTGAACTCCATGCACATTGACTGATGCCAGTATCTGATACATTCATATCAGCCCGGATAGCTCTGGGGAGCCTCTGTGTCTCACCCAAAAAATGACGTTTCATTACAATCATTGCTGGTTTTTTCCAAGCTCTGTATTGATCTCTCTATTCCCTGCTCCTCTCGTCATGTAAAGCGAGCCAGATTCTGGTCCTGGCTCCCAGTTGGCAGTGGATGAGTCCCAGAGGCTTGGTGTGTTGGGCTCAGCTTTGGTGGTACCATAGTTAAGTTTAGTGACCCATTGGGGGTCTACCAGGAAAAGGGCATTTCATTGCATAAAATGTGGCTTGATAATGGCCCAGAATGAACTAAAACCTCATCACCACATTCATTTTCAGTTTTTTTTAATGAGATTACACGGCATATAAAGAAAAAAAATCCTATTGGAATTATAATAAAAATGGTGACTAATTCGGCAAATATGCTTACTGGTTGTATTTATGATATTCTTTGCTTTAGGAATATTTGTTGCCTAATGAGTCCAAATATGGTTATTTGGACCATATTTTATTAGAAAATTAAACCTCTAACTTTTTTGTTTATAATTTTTAATGTCTTTCTTATTGTAAATACTGTATAATAAAAATACACAAATAGCTACAGAATTACATTTTTAGTCCCTTTGACCCTTGGTGATAACTGTGAAAAATATATTTTAAGCGCAACGAAAGGGTTAAACTGGACTTCTATTCCTATTTAACAATAATAAGAGTCGAGGCTTATTCTATGAAAAAGTAAGCAAGGAAAGAAGTGTTGGCAAATTTCACACATTTAATCTTATTACAGCATCTCATATTGATTACGAAGAATCGAGTAAGACAACTTTTGTAGGAATAGCACTAGGTCCTATTTTTTTTTTCCTCCATAAGGGCTATTGTAGAAATATTTTACAACTGTGGTTAAGATCAGTTAAGTGGAAGAAATTGTATTAGTCTACTGTAAGAGCTTGGTTATCCAAATTTAGGTAACCCGAATGAATTCACATTCGTTGTTTTCAAGTAAACTGCAGGAGTAACCAAGTAAACAGTGGGAGTAACCAAGTAAACAGTGGGAGTAACCAAGTAAACAGTGGGAGTAACCAAGTAAACAGTGGGAGTAACCAAGTAAACAGTGGGAGTAAAAAGGTAAACTGCGAGAGTAAGTCTGTAAACTACACAAGTAACCAGGTTGTGTTACCAAAAATTGTGAATTCGTTAATTTTTGGATGTTCCGGGTGAGATATTCGGTCGAGTCGAAAGTTCAGCAAACTTGAATTGGGGTGGTGGGCCTTGTGTAATTCAGCTTACTGAGCGTAGACAGTATGTATAAAACTTTTACTAAGTCCGAGAGGCCCCAACATAGCTCATAACCTGTGTACCTTTTCTACTTCCAGGGGGGGCTTGGCACTTGCAGAATCTTCCTCATATAGCCCATACAATGGTAGATAGATCACTGCAAATGTGTATTAAATAAGTTTATTTTTGTGAAAGAAAACATGCATTAACAAAAATTTGTTTGAATTACGTATGTATTCCATTTAGTTAACATTATGCTCATTAAGTGTAATTCATCTCATTATTTGCAAAGCTACACTGGTATACCCTGAATTCCAGAATTGTGTTCATTTTAGTGGGTTTGTTTACTTGGATTTTAATTAGTTTTATCTTGATAGTGTAAATATGGTATTGATCTGAATGCATTGTGATATAGTCAAGAATGTGTACAAGTAAGGAGTAAGTTATACAGTATTCTGATAGTGCACTTTTTTTGTTTTGATCTGAATGCAACAAAATTAATAATATAACTTAGTATTTGCCTGTATTTACGTAATGGCAACTGTGTCACGGTGGGAACAGGAAGTCTGTGGCCTGTGGAAGGTCCCCCATATGCTTCCTTATGTAATTTGTTTGGGCAGTAAGATGAACTGTATCTCTGTCTTGGCCTTTACTTCTGTGGCATGTAGGTGGTTCTATATTTATATTACACTATGGGTGAAGGAAACATCTATTGCCCTACACACAGAAATCACAATAGCATGATATATTAAATGAACAAATCCACAAGGGCCATGATGAGAGTTCGAACCTTCGCAGCTGGGAACATCCCGTGCATAGGTCCGAACCCTCATCACAGCCCTTTTGGATTTGATCTATTGCTATTCTACACTGAGGCTTGGTGATCTTTGTTGTTGATTCTTGTGAGAGTTTCATTGGAACTCTTGAAGAGGAGGTTTAAATTTGCATTAATTCGGTCATAAAAATCTCGAGAATATCATCCATTATGTCTTGTTTGTGTTTATTACTTCCTCAAAATATACAGTATTTTGTATCTGTATTTTTTGGCATCTTTTCTTGCATATTTTTAGAGGGTTCCATAGTTTTTACTTGTGCAAGTATTTTTTTCAGATATTCCTTTATACACTAAAATAAATTTAATGGTTGATCTCCATTGCCAGTTGTGTGCAATTTTCCTGGGCTGACCTCTAAATTGGTTCTCTGTGCATTAGGCTCCAGTACCTCAGAGGCGAACAGAGCATGAGGATTAGAGATCGATCCAATCCAGAGAAAAACTGGCCAGAAGGTATAGACATAACACAACGAACCACTAACTTTGATTAGAAAGAAAAACTAACATTGGTTTACAGATGAAAAGCAATCCATCAGTAGACAGTGTACCATTAGGTAGGAACTAACATCACACCTGGAGGTCTGGAGGTCCTGCTGACAAACATCTCCATGTGTGCGCCTGGTACCACCTGTGGTGCTCCATACTCGTTTGCTGGAACTAGCTATGTTCTATATACTGTAATTGGTGTTAGCATTTTTTCGAACAGTGCTTAGTGTTTGATTCCCTATTACTCTTCTAATTAGGAATACGACTGTTTGGTACTCTCCTAGTGTGTTCTTAGCCTTTTGGTTCACTCCAGTTATATTTCAGGGTTTGCTTCCATGATATCCGTTCGAGGTTTATTTCCTTATCAAAGTTATCGTCTCTGTGTAGCTTGGTCCTCATTGCCAAATCTGTTTAAGAGTCAAGTTAACTGTTAATTATTTAACACAAAAAAAATCAAATTTGTGCTTGGCTATGAGTTGAATTAAGTTGGTGCCTTGCACGGTTTTGGGATTGTACCAGGGTACTGACAAGAATTATTTCAGTGTAATTCTAAGGTTTCATACTCCTATTCGTTCATGATTTATGGGGTTTGGTGTGTAGGAAACACTTTCACTTCTCTGGCACTTGACACTGCTGGATATTCTTTTCTGCCCTGAAGAGGCAGTTCCTGTTGTTTGTGGGATGGTTCTTATTACCCACAGTATTGTGGAGTGAATCTTGACATGGATGAAGATTTCTTCATATAATGGTGCTCCAGGGAGGTGGAGCTCTAGAATCTCAGTGTAACTTCATATTACCTTTCTTGCTGCACAAGGATATCATAGTATCGCAATGTATCGCCGTTAAATTATGTACATAGCCGTTTATGAACCTGATATTTAGTCTATGGTTTAGTAATTTTTCAAGATTGTTAGCTGTTTAAGTTTTTCTGTAAGGATCTTACTTTTGTAGTGATTAAATGGGATCTGTTAGGGTTTTGTAATAAGGTGGTACTTAACTCTGAAATTTCACAGATCTATTCTTTATTTTGCTTGTGGACTTATTAATTTTTGTATAATTGTTGTGGCCTTGACAGGTTTCTCACATGAGCAAGAGAATTTGAACAATATAATTTTAGAGTAACAGTTAATGTATCTATATATATTATATAAGTACTCTCAGGGTTAGTTTACAGGTTGTAAAGCAAGACAGAGGCTACGGTGGTTGTACTTCTAAGAAAAGTGAAGATTTGAGTCATTTAAGGGACCTTCTGCATGTTCTTGTGCCTTGATGATTTAATCTGCATTTCTTTCTCATAATGCTTAACTGTTAGTAATTTTCTGAGATGGCTCTTTCAGTAACTTCCGAAGCTAACTGCTGGTACACTTACCTGCTTGATTGAGGCAACACTGTTGCCTTAGGAAGAAAACATTCCAGAAAGCACAAGTGCAATGAAGTGACTGCTTGTAGAAAATTAGGTACACTTGGGTAGCAAGTCACCTTTCTGCTGAGTAGCATATAAGACATGGAGAACATGTCCTTGCTCTTTAGGTGTATAGGACCAGAGGTGGTCCTATTTCTTGCTTTTAGGTTCTCTCTCTCTCTCTCTCTCTCTCTCTCTCTGCAACTCCTGCATTGGGCTGGGTTTGGCATTTTTCTCTGAATTCCCAATTTGTATTACAGATTGGGGCGCTGGCTCGTACATTGCCAAGTGACAGCAATGGTTGAGCTGGTGGCAGTGGTGATTAGGCTGCTCTCTTCTCTCTTTTCTGGTACCCTCAAAGCCTACTTTTGTTCTCCTGGTCTCTGGGTTTTGCATTCCAGGGAGTTCTATTTTTTTTTAAATTGGGGGTGGAAGGGGGGGGGGGGTAGTTGGCTTCCATGCCTGGCACCCCTATAATTTTCTCTAAAAATATTGAGCCCGAGGGTGTGGGGGTGTGGTCAGTGGCTGTTGTTGGGCCACACATGCATGGTGACAGTCAGGGACATTACAGTTAAGGTATTTATTCCATGGCAATTGTTATACGTGTTTACATCTTGATACATAAATTTCTTCAAGCAGCTGCTTGTTCTTTCTGGCGACTATTTTCTTGGATCTGGGTCGCTCTTTGACCTTCTAAGCTTTTCCTAGCCTTGCAGAGAGAGCCAGATTGTGAGCCTGGCTTCTAGTAGGCAAGGTTGGGTCTTGTAAGCCATAAACATTGTCCTATGGCATTGCTGTACCATCATTTAGCTCAGAGAGCTTCTGAGGGGCTTCCATGAAGGGTTGTTTCATTACATTCACTGCTTGATTTTTGGCCTTGGTCTGTTACCTGGCACACTCACTGCATTTCTGTATTAAATGTCCTGGCCACACATTATTGTCCCTTATTATTCTTGAAAGTGAATTCAGCTACAGTTTGTAATGAACACACAAATAAAGTACAGTAAAAACTTTACTTTTTATGTTCATTATGTGACAATGAACATAACTTTATTATGTTCATGATCACATGTTTGATTCAGTTCTATTATATATTACTTTAGTTTTCTGCTCATAAACAAATTTTCTTCAATACTCTTAAGTATTAGTCTGGTATATATATTTCATGACCAGCGATATAAAAGGAAGATTTGGTTTTCATAATACAGTATAAAGTTTTATTTTTGTCAGTTGATAAGTTATAACTTTAACATTAATATAATATTAATAGACCTTGAACCCAGTTTTGAATTTGAATTAAATTTATAATGTGCTAAATGTGTAATGACATGTAATGTTGCTGATTGACCACCAGACTTTCCAAGACTGCATGCACTTACCCACTAAGCTTTCCAACTTGGTACCTTTTAATAATTACTTCCTTATTTTCCCATTATGCTACTCCAAGACATGGTTTAATCTAAAGTAAAGCTGCAACCTAAGATATCTTTTGGTAATCAGAAAGTTTACAAATAAAGATACATTAAAATTGACAGGTGTTATATTTGAGGTTACCCCACCTGATGCATGCAGGTTATGGAGGAAGCAATCAAAATTAGTATAAATTTCAACTTAAAATGATGCAAAAGTTAAACTCGGAGAGCAGAACAAACCACCATTAATATCGTGGTTACTACAATAAGCTCTGTTTTAATCAAGTATTTGCACAGTAGCATAACTATAAATAACATTAGAGTACTGTGTTTTAATAAGTAGAATCTGTTAGTTTTTGTTCTTGGCATGTGTAACTAATACAGTATTTAAATTGTGGTTTGAAGAAGTAATTCTGACTGCTAACAAGCATGTTTTGCTTTGTCTAAATGTAAATTCAATACATTTTCTTTTGATGACATTTTTAATTTAGTACTGTATAATTTTGACATGTAATCTCTGAAAATCTGAAAGAAGGAATTTATCTTAAAATTTGGTTTGTCAATTTATCTTTCCCCTTTATGATTTAACATTGTTTTTTGGGTCTTGCAATAATTTTGAAATATGATACTGTACAGCACTTAAAATATTAGAGAATTAATGTTTTGTTTAAATTTAAAAGGAAAATGTTTTTATGTTGTCGTCATGCTTTATTGTTCTCAGTAAACAAATTCTTTAATATTATTCAGAGTAAATTTCTTAGCTAATACGGTAAAAGTTTTCTTTAATTTATACTTTAATAAAAGTATACAGAAGCATTCAATTTGATCATGTAAAGGTGTCTGTTATTAGCAAGTCTGTAATTTACTGTGCAATATTTCTTGTTGCATAATTGGATAGTCACACTTTTTTTTAGAAGTAGTGCAGTGTCCTGGTTCCTGCTATCACAGTGCAAATTGTAAACTGCTGGCAAGTTATCAGACATGCCATAGTGGAACGTTTCCAATACTTTATATCTTAGTTATGTTACAGGTATATCCAGACTTTGTTATTATGTTAAGTGGTATGCTAAACTGCCAGTATGCTTCGTAATGTTTCCGAGTCTCCTGTTTATAGATCAGCAAGTTATTGATATATTTTCAGTATTTAGTTATTTTGGCTGCTGTGGAGGGAGTACCTAGTCTTTGCAGACAATATCAAATATCCCAATTTTCTTATTCAGATGCCTGAAATATATTAGATGCTGCTGCTATTTCCTTTTGGCAAATTAATGACCTTACAAATACTGTACAAAAATGAAATGATCCAGAATTCCTTTTCTGACTTTTAACCCTTCAGTTATCGTCTCGTGTTGATGCACGGGGTAATGCGGTTACTATCATACATTCACTTAAACTACTGTATTATTATTACAATATCTGAGTTTGACACAAATGATACTAATATGGATATAATAGCTCTATAAGGATGTAGAGGCGCTTATCAAGACACATGAACAAATTCTGCAGTGTTTAATGATTATCTTGCTAGGTAAATGCAGTTATTGTTGCAAATGTTACAGTATACATTTGTGGTAATTGTTATGGTATAAAATTTCATTATAATTACTTGATAAGTACAGTATTGCATTCTGATTATGTTCATATGATTATCACAACTCTGTGGTTGTAATGAAGTATTCCAGGTCAACCACTCATCATTTGAACATAATAATAAAGAAACTACGGAAGGCTTGTTAGTCCATGCGAAAAAGGCTCCTATTCATAGAAGCTGCTTCATATAGTCCAATAGGCCTATGAGGCACCTCCTGTTTTTATCGATATAAACAGGAGCTGCCTTGAATGGGCTTATTTATATCCATTTAGTGTATATCCATATCATTCTTATATAAACGATCAGTCATCTAGACATCCAAGATCAATATTGAGAATGTGTGGCTTGGGGAAGTGTCTCTTGTTGACAAGAGTTTTCATGATGATAGAAGAGGTGGGTGCCATGGGCTGCCACATACTGAATTTATATATACAGTATATGGTTGTAATGAAGTTATACCATGTGTTGAAAAAGTACTGAAGTATACAATAGTACTGAGACATTGTAAGTAGTGTACATATATTGTATGTATACAGTATAGACATTGTAGGCCTTGAAACATTATCTTTATTTGTAATGTACTCATAAATCAAGTTGTTCCTCACATATACTGTAATACATATATATAAAAACAAGCGATAAACTATCAAAAAGCATCCAAGAGAATACTGGGAGTAGTGTCTTTCGATATCACCAAAATCAACATTGAGTGTCGACAGATGCAGGCCCAAATTGCTACCACCCAACCTTTCACATCTCATTCAACCAGTAAAAAAGGTACAGATGGTATTTATATTTGTTTCTGTTTTTTTTTAATTTTGCTTACAAATTCATAACTACCCTGTACAAGGACAAAATATTTTGTGGAAGTGTTTAATGTTTTGTTATCATAGGTGGGTATGACCGTACACTATTTCAGTAGCTGCATGTCGAGGGTTAATTATGCTCAGGTTTTTTGTTTTATTATTATCTAGTGCTCAGCCAAAGTTAATCTTTTATATACAAATCTTGGCTCATGTTTTTATGGGAGGTGTTTTCAACTTTTGTCTTCCATTTTAGGTACAAACATTTTTCATTTGTCTTTTGGCTATTTCACTAGAACAGCATCACTATTACATTTTATGTAGTCGATTTCCCCCAGCCAATTTGTAATTTTGTGTTATTAATGACCAGTTTCTTTACTCTTTTTAGCATTACTGTAGTTTTTATACCAATGTACATGGATGTATAATTTCTTTAATGTTGAATAATGCAGAGTGGGCCACATTAAGTATCATATACTGTAGTGGATTTCCAGTCGAACAGAACAATTGCCGTTTCTTGTCCCTTTTGGTAGTTCCAATCTTTTGTTGTATCCAATCTCTGCTCATTTTATAGCAATATTTGTATTATTATTAGTGCAAATGATAGATCATAGCGCATATTTTGATACAAAATCATATTTTCAAATTTGTAAAATAATAAAAATTTGATTGTTACATTTAATGGCATTGCAAAGCCATTCTCATGGAAACTTCTGTATTGCCTGGTCTCCTAACCATTATACTGGTCTCTTATCAAATTGGAACTCTTCCATTGCATCTGATCTTCCATTGGACTGGGTTGTATTGGAGCGGGAAGCTACTAGGTCTTATGGTATGCAAGACTATTTGTCTTTCAAGACCATTGATACAATGTATTTGCTGCATTTGGGTGCATGTTGTGTGGATACTGCCACTGTGATGTTTACACACAAGCTAGGACTCTGCTTTGAAGAAACATACCATTTGCTATGCAATGCAAGTAAGCCAAGACTTACTTGTGATATTAGAAAATAAGATAAATTATTTCCTTTCTCTCTCATTCTGAAGCAAACAATATAAGGAGAAACAGATGACAATACAATATAAATCTAACGTTGAACAAGTTTAAGGTGGAGTGAATCAGTAGTATAAGGGCCTGCAATGTTGTCAATTTTCTTTTTTCTTGGTACTCGCCTAGTTGTGTCTGCAGGATCGAGCATTGACTCTTGGATCCCGCCTTTCGAGCATCGGTTGTTTACAGCAATGACTCCTGTCCCATTTCCCTATCATACCTGGTTTTAAAATTATGAATAGTATTTGCTTACACAACCTGTTCCTGAAGTGCATTCCATTTTCCCATTTTGGTGTTTATGAAACTAGTGTCTAATGTTACAGGCACATACTTAGACAATTTATCTGAGGATATAGTGTCTCATTATTATTCTTATAATTAAATTCTAAGGAATATTCAGCATGGATCTCAGTCAGTGGCTTATTTATTCTAATGCGGTAATTTTTTTAGCCTATTAATTTCACATGCAAAAATCTGTAGTCACAGTCTTTAGTCAATTATCCTTGCCGAGGATGGCAGGTTCATGGAAGTTTGAATAAGTGCATGTATGTACTGTGTTACTATTTTGGCTACCAGTTAGATAATTAAATAATTTGACTACCATTAAGCACAAATGTTAATTTTCTATGTTATTTTACAAAGTACTGTATTGCCAGGTGTACTTGCCTATATGCAGATTAAGAATAATGGATTAAAACATTAAATTCTAGTAATTTCCACATATAACACCACTACTGTAATGTGTGTCATATTACATACCCTATAGCTTAGTCCTTGCACTGCTCCAATCCTTCAAGTTGCTAACAAGTTACTTCAGGTGTTTGCTTACATATCCCATTTCTAGATTGATCTGGAAATTGTATGGCATATTAAACAAGACTTGAAAAGCCCTAGTTTCCTTCCTTTGCTTCACAAATCATATGCACACCATGTCTGGTGCAATTATACTGGAACACTGGTGGTTCTAGATAGAAAACTGTCACCTGAGGACCACATTAAGAACATTGTGCGAGGAGCCTATGCTACACTTTCTAACTTCAGAATTGCTTTTAAATACATGGAGAAATACTAAAAAAATTGTTCACGACTTTTGTTAGACCAAAGCTGGAATATGCAGCTGTTGTATGGTGCCCATATCTTAAGAAGCACATCAACAAACTGGAAAAGGTGCAAAGATATGCCACTAAGTGGCTCCCAGAACTGAAAGACAAGAGCTACAAGGAGAGGTTAGAGGCATTAAATATGTAAAAACTAGAAGATAGAAGAAAAAGAGGATATGATTACCACATACAAAATAGTAACAGGAATCGATAAAATTGATAGGGAAGAATTTGAGACCCGGAACTTCAAGAACAAGAGGTCATAGATTTAAACTCACGAAACAAAGCTGCCGGAGAAATATAAGAAAATTCACTTTCGTAAACAGAGTGGTAGACGGTTGGAACAAGTTAGGTGAGAAGGTAGTGGATGCCAAAACCGTCAATAATTTCAAAGTGTTGTATAACAAAGAGTGCTGGGGAGACGGGATACCACGACCGTAGCTCTAATCCTGTAACTACACTTAGGTAATTACTTTGGTAATTATTAGGCCTCTCTGGATTTTTTGCTAATATAGCAAATAATTGCCAGAGCCATCTACGAATAATATTTCCAACCAAACACCTGCTGTGACTTGTAAACAACACGGGGCATGAAAAATAATCTCCAAGTGAGCCGAGTGATCTGCCCATTCATTACTGGTTGACTGGAACCATTCAAGACTTCAAGAAGAAAACCTTTTTTTTTTATTCGTTTCCTTTTGCACCAAATTAATGTCCAGCAACCAAACTAGCTAGCTACATTAGCACTTTTCATTATTTTCTCTTGCAACTAACCAGTGATTTTATTGCAATATCTGAATGTGAGCCTTACATTGCAATCAAATTTATGGCAGACCAAATAACTTTGAGGTAGGTTTCCACTGCACAGCCTTCCCGGTTTGGTGCCTTCTCTTGATAATTACTTACTTCCACTGCACGGTATTTGAAATGTAATGCTATTTTGTTATAATTGATCCATCATATCCATGTCTCCTTTGTCATAATGAAGTATCCTAGCAAAATAAT